TTAAATAATTTTTAATGCGCTTTGACATTCAAAAACAATGTTCTGGTGCAGTTGTGGACCATAAAGGGCTCTAGCATACCACCTATTGTATTATTTTTTATAATAATATGTAATATTAATATTCTTTACTAAACACCAAAAAAGAAAGATAGAAATTAAAAACACATCACAAAGAAAAGATGCACAGTAGGCGACCTTATCGCTGGAAGTGAGCACTTCCAGGCAACCTTGAAGTGGAGGAGTAAGTTTTCATAAATCGGTAGGCGGTGTACATGCAGGACTATCCACTAAAACTCCAGGGAACCTTTACCGTCTTATCGAGACGTCACATGATCACTAAAATACACAACCACGACGCCCCGGCGTGTGGCCTTACCAAAGGACTGGGATTGGAAAGATATTGCCTTATGAAACTTGCGATTAGGCATTATTACATGATTTTTGCAATATTATTACAAGAATTAGTAGATAGTAGTAAATATTTGCAATAGTAAACAACATTTCTTATTATAAAGTATTGTAATCAATGCAGATTATTTATTATTTTATTCACATTCACACGCATATTCCCTCATATTTAATAAAAAATACACGATATTGCCTCTCGTATCTATGTATATGTACTACAGATAAAACAAGAATTTAACCTTGAGATTAAGGTTTTTATAAAAATTATCACAGTAAATATTAAAATGATCTATTCAATATATGTACGAACATGCTAGGCATTAGACCAGCTATACTCAACCTGCGGTCCGCGGGCCGCATGCGACCCGCCCGCGCCGGGCCTTTGTTATCGGCCCATCTGAAGTTACATCTCAGAGTTGGCTTCTGTTTTAAATTGTAATTACTCAGAGTTGTTTGATGAGTTCATCGATTTTGAAAACGATACCAACCTAGAAGTTCAGTTTAAAGAAAAAATTATAAAGGTAAAACAGACCATGACTGAAACGTGTGTGTGGCCCCTATAAAAAAAATTGAGTATAGCTGCATTAGACCTAAGTTCAACTACGGGACGATTCAACGTCCATTTTATTTTATAATGTAACGACTCATCCTCCCTCCGCTCGGGTTCATCCATAGTTACGTTGTAACATTTAGTATAAATTTCTGAGAGATGAGATATTTTCCCGTTGTAAAAAGTATCCTATATTTTGATCCGGATAACCTGCTATCATCATACCAAATATCATCAAAATCTGTGCGGTGGTTTTCTCGAGATGCGGTCACAGACAGACAAAAATTCTAAAAACTATAGATCCGGCCTCTGTATGGATAATAAAGACTATTTTATTAAGATTTTCCAAAAAATATTTAATGTACAGATTCGACTCAGTTAGAATTTTAATATATGTATAGATAAAAAAATATATTCGATTATTTATTTATTTGGAGTTTCTAACAAAATCCGACTGTTTTAAAAACAAACAAAAAATTTGAGAAACCACAACAGTATGAAAATATAATGTGCTTATATTATCATTTTTGTAATTGTGTACATTTTTGTAAATGTAGGCGGTCATCATGTTGGTTAGACCCTGGTTCAGCACCTAGGCAATGTCCCAAATGAAAATTTACCCTTAAAATAGTCATGGTCACTATTTGGTGGTCTAGTGCCTGTATAATTCATCACAGCTTCTTTATTCTTACACAATAACACCAGCATTACTGCGGATGTGTACTGTGATGAACTGGACACAATGATGGAGAAACTCGCAAATCTCCGGCCAGCCTTAGTTAATCGCTCGTCTCCGCTGCTCCTACACGACAACGCTCGACCTCATACAGCACAACTGACGGTTTCTAAGCTACAAGAGCTAGGGTTGGAAATTTACGTCATCCACCGAACTTACCAGACCTTGAACCGACAGACTTCTACTTTTCCAAAATTTGGACAACTTCTTGGCAGTGAAAAAATTCATTACCCGAAAGGCAGTACAAAATGCCTTTGAAGAGTTTGTTGGCTCCCGTACACCTGGCTTCTTCAAGAAGGGCATTGATAAATTACGAATGCTCTGGCAGAGATGCATCGATACCATGGGGGTATATTTTGTTTGATAGAAACAAAAAATATCTATAAAAAAATGACTTGAACTTTCTGTATTAAACGGATTCATAGGTAAAGACTAAAGACCTAATATATGTAAATGGATTGTTTTCCATCGGATATATGGGACGAAAGCGGGATCTAATAAAATACTTTAATAATTTCATTTTCGCACGCGCTTTACTTGATAGTGGGCTATATTTCTGATGATGTTCTCCTGACCGATTCCGGCCACGGCGGCCAATCTCATTGAGACTAGCCAACTGCGCAGGAGATATTATAGTGCTCAAGTGTACGCGCAGACACAAGTGCACTCTCTATTCCTGTCACTCTCATACTCCGATGGGACGACTACTCGACACGACCGGTGAGAGATAAGGCGCAGGACCGACAGCTTTACGTGCTCTCCGAGGCACGGGGGTGAAACACCGCCAACTTCCCAACTCCGGGCTATTACTGAGTCTTTCTATACAGAAAGACTCAATAACTAAACTTGGCCCGACCCGGGACTCGAACCCAGGACCTCCAGGTGTGCAGCCGTACATGCTAGCCGCTACACCACCGAGGCTATATTTCTATATTTCGATCCAATAAGGTAAATAGGAAATATGCATGATTTTTTTATACAATAGCTTACATCGTTATATAATTGAAAAAAAATATATCCAGTTCCAAAAAACTAAAATTTAGTGTAAGATAATTTTTTCAATTTTTTTTACCGTTACGGGTATTTTAAACACTAGCTAGCCATTTCGCGAGCTTAGCGTGACGTCACAGTATGATATATACAGAGAAATTATTCAATTTGTAAGCGACAAAATCGCTAATCGCTCTGTTGTGATATTTTCTGACGTCATATTCGGTCTGACCAATGGCGTGCGTTTTTACTACTTTGATTTCCCACCTGTTTTTGTACTTTTTAATAATAATTTCTTAATTAAAAAGAAATTACATTAAGAAATATAAATATATGCTTAAATCAAAAGCAATAAATATTATAAAAAAATCACCTTTATTTAAATCACACGCATATTCCCTATTGAGTGCCTTTATTGTTCAACCCATAGTTGCAGAGTTGTTTGATTTTAAAGTCGTAAACATTTAAAAAGAACTTTAATTTTCTTTTTTTTTATTTGGCAGTTTAATGTCGCTAATTTTTTTGTGCATAGAAACGTTTGCATCTAAAAAAAACCTTATTGCCCGGTAATTATAACAATTCATAAGTTACCTAAGTATTTAGTTGGCCAAGCGAACGAAGCATAACAAATATCAATCTTTTAATTCACACTTTACGCCATAAATATTTATAATAATTTAGTTTTGAATGTTTTACAATACAGAGCTTATAATTTTATTAGAACATGTTTTTTTACCACGCCAAGGTCACATTAAACGTGCGCATTATTCATATTATATTTATTAATAGTCAGGGAGCCAGGGAAAATTTGGTCGATTATTTCCTCTCAAGTGATAATTAGTGGAACGCATCAGAGAGTTGTATCATAAACCTTCGTGAACGTCAACTGCGGCTCCGTGGGTGGGATAAGCGGTGGTAGCCTCCACGCACGAAAAAGAAATCAATTATTTCGTCTTACCTGTAAAATTTGTTAAATTGTTGCTAACCCAATATCTCGAGGAAACAAAACAATCAGCTGACTATGACATGGTGGATTATACGTCAGCTGGTCGCTCGAACACGAAAAAAATATTTAAACTTTCAATTCAATATAAAATTATAATTTTTTTGCCGCAGTTGATGTTCACGAAACTTAATATACAACTCTCTAATGGGTTCCACTAATTATCGTTTGAGAGAAAATAATTGACCAAATTTTTACCTGGCTCCCGGACCATAAGGTGAAACTAACAATAATTACAGATTTACAGAATAAGTATTAATTAAGTTTCCATGAACTTACAAAAAAATATATAACCATAAAATCATCTTATTGTTTGGTCTACAAAAGGTAGAGTATAATATGTACTTAAGCATAAAATTAAATTGAATTATTATGTTGTTGGGTTCGTTGCTCTTGCTACAATTCAGCGCGGTCTTGTATAGTAATTAGTGCGAAGTTTCTTATCGCAATTCATATTCGGCACACTTGACGAATGAGATCTAGATGGAAAAAAGTGTAATATTTCGATCGAAACGACACTTCTTATTATTTACTAAGCGCACCCCATGTGAGTACTACATGAAGGACTAGGCGATCATAAGTGTTAAGGAATGTATATATTATGTTGTAAGAAATTTGTGTGCACCCTGCGTACAGTGTACGTTACTTGATGTTTATAATGTACCTTGGTACCCTTGACAATTTATATGACCTAATTTTATAAGCTAAGAGCAGATAGCGAAAGGAAATTCGTTCATACCGGGTGTCCCACGACACCTCTCCACTTTTTTTATTGCGTGTACGTCTTGTATATTGACGTGTACGAGTATATGTAATTTTATTGTATTTTCTATTCATGTAAATAAATGTTATTATTGACACACATACAGACAACGCCAATACTGAATTATGGAATTTTGTAGAGCATATCCTGTATAAAAATCACTAATCAAGGATTTTTGAAATTTCATCAAAATGATATTCATAGATATGATGAAAGTTTGTATCAATAATGAAATTGTGGTATGAGATACTGTTTAGTATTACTGATGGAAAATTGAATGAGAAATACAGGTAGTATTTTACACAATATGGAGTATCTCTAGTAACTCAAAGAATCAATTATAGAGAAGATGATAGGTTATTTTAATGTCAATCATTATTTAAATGCTGCATTGATGTAATCCAAGATTCATGTAAAATAAATATAATATTAAAGGGCAGGTAAATGTAAAATAAATAAACATTAAAAACTACATCTTTGATATTTCTTATAGCTCATTATATCCAGAATCTTTGAGGTTTGGTACCCGAAAGAAGTACTATATTTATCACCACAAAATATCATACAATAATTTGTACCATGGCTTTGGGGGTTCTGGCTTATAATATTCTGAATTTAATTTAGGGGTCATATCATCAACTGGGTCTTCTTGAAAAGCATTTACAAACGCATTTCTTATGCCAAATTTCCACATAGCAAGATATGGAATATAAGTTGCAACAAAAACAATCCATTTATGATAAAAATTGAAAAAAATTCTGCCATAGTAAGTTGAATACAAGCTTACGATGACATTATTGAACGCAACTTTGTATTTTCCTATAAATGGAAGATTTTTATAAGCTGGTGCAGTATCTACAGAATCGTAGTCACGAAGATAAAAGACGTTTTGTTGTCTTGGCACTGCAGATTGGTTTATAAGGCACTTCTCCATTAATTCAGATGCATACACTCCTGAAAAAGATTATAAGTTTAAAGTATCGAAAAAATTGGACAAGTGCTTCTTCAAATTCTATTATTTTCTATTTAGAAGCATTTAAAAATAATACAAATAACATTTCTAATTTGTAACGTCACACGATGCACCTAGCAATATTACATACAAAAGTTGTGTGCTAAACAAATACATGATTATACATATATAAGGGTTCTTTTATGTCCTACATGGGAACCTATATTAAATCTCTAAATTAAACCTTGGTGTTTACTTATATTAGTTAAGACTAGCATTGCCCGCGGCTCCGCCCGTGTTTAGATGACCAAAACCCTAATCCTAAGGTTTTACATATTAGTATAGTCGTACAATGCAGTTTTGTGTTTTTGTATTTTTTCTCAGAAATGAGATATTTTCCCGCGGTAAAAAGTATCCTATATGTTGACCCGGATAACCAGCTATCATCATACCAAATTTCATCAAAATCTGTCCAGTGGTTTTCTCGTGATGCGGTGACAGACAGACAGACAGACAGACAGACAGACAGACAGACAGACAGACAGACAGACGGACGGACGGACGGACGGACGGACGGACGGACGGACGGACGGACGGACGGACGGACGGACGGACGGACGGACGGGCGGACGGACGGACGGGCGGACGGACGGACGGACAGACAAAAATTCTAAAAACTATAGATTCGGACTCTGTATCGATAATAATGTCTGTTTCAATTAGATTTCCCAAAAAATATTTAATGTACAGATTTGACTTATTTAGAATTTTATTATATGTATAGATTAACATCAAATATCCTTTTTTAATCAAGCTATAAACACTTGAAAACATTCAGAACTTTCAAAATTATTAATCCCTTAAAACAATATGTCCTAAAGCTAAATCCAAGAAAATAAAAATCTTTCGCAGCGTCAATTATTCCAAGATACCTGTATCTTCTGATCGCCCTTTCAATATCTTTTTTAGCTTATTTCGAAAAGTGTATCTATCTTCCTCCGTATATATATATCCAGGAACATCAGATAGGTATTTCACCACGAAGATCATTGATGAAGATTCTAGAGCCGTTAATATCTGGCTCAGTCCCTCTATCATGACACGAGTAGAGTGTTCGAAATATTCTGGAACATTCTCCAAACATGGAGTATACACCCGTTCCAAAATGATTTGCAATACTTGGCGCGTCTCTTCATAACTGTTTCTACATATGTTATATCTGTAAACATATCGTGCATAATTTAAATTCAGAGTAGAAATATGAGATGATATTTTTAGGCAGCAAAAGGCGGACCACACGTTTTTATTTTTTTCGTACTTGATAGGGTCTTCTCGATTAATGGAAGGGTGTTAAGCTGAAGACGCCAAAGAAGACCATACACTGAAGAAAGAACTCAAAAATATATCAAATAAAAATAGAGTATCACCTTATCATTATCTAATCATCGCTATTAACTTAAATTTATTTTATATTACTGAAATATTTTATATTGTAAATACAGATACATAAACATTAAAAAATAGTTACTTGTCCTTCAATCCTATCATATGTCCGATAACTCTCCAAAGGTGGTTATACGCTTCCCAGTCACCATCTTGAAGTTGAGTTATTCCAAATTTGTCAGGTTTCAGGAAAGAGAATCCAATAAAACCAAACAACGTGAGAGATATATCTCGCTGAGATACTGTTCCTATTCCCTTTAGCTTAGCGGTTCGACCAGCCACGAAGTGCCGTTTTCTAACAGTATATAGTGACTTCCATGATCTAAAAAATATACGTAAGATAATTTCACTTACATTTGCTTTTACATTTATTCATATCATATACAAATAATTGATAATTATTTATTGCCAAAATCAAATCAAAGCTTAACAAGATTAAACTTTTTATCGACTGAAAGATTTTACTATCAAGGTCGGGTAGTAAATCCGGATGTTTTTAAAATTTAAATCACTAAATTTCAATTTTAAATGAACAATATATAATACTTACTCTGAGCCAGGCTTAAGTTCAGACTCCATCCATAAATTTGTGTGTTTATATGTTGAAAAATATCTCCTGTATGCGGTGTAGACTGAGTTGGAACGTCGAGTGGAGACTAGAACGTTTAGTATCGTTGGAATTGAGAACACCGCGACCAGACCGGCTACCATAGATGCTGAGAGCATGAAAGAGAAGTCTGCATAGAAACGCCTGCCCCTATAATAAAATATTACTTTTAAGGACCATTCCAATTTAATATTATTTGTAATACATAGTCATCCAATAAATAAAAATATTTTTAGAATGCGTGTTATTGAATAATGAAATGCGACTGTATTGTGTGTATATGTGTATATTATTTAAGTGAGTGAAGTATTTTTGAATTAAGAAGAACGAGCTATTTCAATTTTTATTACTTTGCATGTATGATATATTCTTTGTATCCACATTCTCTTAGGTATATTTTTCTTTCACTTACTGGTTACATTTTTTTTCATCGAACCATTCGGGTAGTTTCATTTCCAAATCATCAACTTTTTGGCCATCGGAAGGCTCCACATACGCCTCTTCGCTGAACAATCCATCTATGAATTCTTTCACTGAAAAGAAAATAACCGTTTATTAATATATTTATTTTAACCTTTTTAGTTATTAATTAATATTTAGGTACATTTACATTCACTATTAAACGTTCATTTATATAGTGACATTAGTTATATTAGTCTACACATATAATAAAATTGTAACTAAGCCGAATCTGTACATTAAATATTTTTTGAAAAATCTTATCGAAATAGACATTATTATCGATACAGAGGCCGAATCTATAGTTTTTAGAATTTTTGTCTGTGTGTCTGTCTGTTACCGCATCACAGAAAAACTATTGGAGGGATTTTGATGAAATTTGGTATGGTGATAGCTGGTTATCCGGGTCAACATATAGAATACTTTTTACCGCGGGAAAATATCTCATTTCTGAGAAAAAATACAAAAACTGTATTGTAAGAGTATACTAATATGTAAAACCTAAGAATTTGATTTTTGGTCGGATGTGACGCAATGCTAGTTATATTATATAGTGCAAATAACCTAGATAGTCAGAATCAGAGTTTCTGGGTTTTTTAAAAGTTTTCCAGGAATTTAAAAGTTGGGGTTGTTACGCCTCTGTGTTTCTCGGAGAGCACGTTAACGGCCCTAACTTTGATCTACACCAGTGTTGAATTGACATCCCACTGGACTTGTGCACTATACTATTTCCTGCACAGGTGGTCTGTTGGTCAGTATCAATTAGATTTGAAAACAAAAAAATAACAACATTTGAGTGTACACACGAAACAAAATTTTTTGGATGTTCTTCGTGCTTCGTGTACATTCTTTCATTGTGGAAAAAAATAAGTGAATGAGGGTTTTTATTTACTAGAGATAATCAGATATTTTCGAAGTCGGTGCCAGCCAGTGCAATTGTTACTCATATTCATTATCACGCATCATTGTATTTTATATTTTCCCAGTACTTTTCCTTATACAGATACTTAGGTTTATAAATTTCACATTATAAATGGAAAATCTTTGCTACTTCTAAAACAATGGTTAATAGCCATTTACCTCTTATCAGTTATTCTAAACATAAACTACTAGCGGGTAATTCGTTTTCATTCATTATCAGGATCTCAGCCTACATACTTTAACTCTACGATTTGACTTCATTATGAAGATAATCTTGATATTATTAACTTTTTTTTTATTTAAAGGATGTTTTTGTGATTGGGTAAGGTTTAATATAAATTTAATCATCTGAAATGCTATATTATTCAAAAAGATGTTATATTTTTTCTATATTACAGGTTTCTGAATGGCTGGCTCCCGTAGAATATCAATAGTAAGTAAAAAATAATCAATTAGAATAGTTATCATCATCATGAAATTTATTTTTCAGATTTTTTATAATGCCGTTGATGGAAAAAAATAAGCCTTGTGGCTTTTGGTATTGCAAGCGAAGTACTTGAATAATTAAGGAAGGAATTATGATTTTGTGTAAGAATATTTAGTCCAAATCCATTTAAAATAGGTGTATATGACGAAAAAGTCTGCGCTGTCCAAATTATTACAAATATTAATTTGTTACCAAATGGAGAGCATTTACTATTTATTATAAAAAATAATATTATGTGTTTATAACAGTATATTATATAGTATCAACATATTAATATATGTATGTAGATTGTTTAGCAAGCTTTTCAATTTAACAACGTGAAATTGAATTGCTACCTAAATAAATATCCTACCCATATAGAGGGAGAGAGAGAGAGAGAGATTGAAAAAAATTAGGCGCTGAATTCACAACTCAATAAAGAATTAAATCGACCATCTATATTTTTTCCGACGTTTCCTCATAGATGGGTCTTGGCTAAAGCGTGACATTAAAACGATTTAGGTTCCATGTAGAGCTTCTACTTGTTGGACCGATATATATCTCCACACAAGCAGGCAAAAGGGTTACAAAAGGGTCCTTAGAGATCGTAAACCCTAAAAGATATGCAAAACTATAATATAAATGAACATTATAATTTCAGCAAAGACTTTTCAACGCAAAACCTAAGCGATGCTCAATTTTTAAAAAACCCTCTTGGCTCAGATATTGAGCAAGAAAGCCAATATGAACCATCGCATAGGGCTGATGTAGAGACATTCGCACCAGTACTTTCACCAAACTTATTAAAAGTGAAGCTTGAAGAAATACTTAAAAATGCTAAAACATTAACAGCGACATTGAAAAAACAAATATCCTATATAGAAAATCAAGAAAGAACCCTAAAAGAAGCTATTGCTAACGGCAGGTAATATATTCTTAGAAATAAAATTGAAGTGTCTGCGATTTTAAGTCAGTTTCCATAGATAATGCTTAGGTTATTCACACAAAACCACAGCCAAAACAACCATTAAATATTTTTGGTCTGTTTGTACCCGCTTATTTCTGGGGCCTTCTGACAGATCTTAATGCAGCTGAAAGGGGGTCTTATAGTCTTTGGTCTTAAGATATATAGAATATGTTTCAGATTTCCGGGAAGTATGGAAAGTCAGAACGAAGGAAAAGTTGAAGTAGCAGTGAGTAGTTGGTGGTATACCTACGAAAAGATTTAAGGGGCACATAATTTATACTCAAATAAATATATAGCGTCCCTTCATAACTTTCACATTTATAAAATTTTAAATTACTAAAGATTTATCCTCGCTTCGCTCGGGTGCGTCCCTGGGTACGTTTTAACGGTTAGTATACAATAGACTATATACATATATGTACATATAATATATATATATTTTTTATTGTATATGTTCATCTGCCTCGGCGGTGTAGTGGCTAGCAAATACAGCTGCACATCGAGAGGTCCTGGGTTAGAGTCCCGGGTCAACTTTAGTTATTGAGTATTTCTGTTTAGTAAATCTCAGTAACAGCCCGGAGTTGGGAAGCTGGAGATGTTTTACCCCCGTGCCTCGGAGAGCACGTAAAGTCGTCGGTCTTGCGCCTTAACTCTCACTGGTCGTGTCGAGAAGTCGTCCCACCGGATATATGAGAGTGACAGGAATAGAGAGTGCACTTGTGTCTGCGCGTACACTTGTGCGCTATAATATCTCCTGCGCAGATGGCTAGTCTCAATTAGACTGGCCGACGTGGCCGAAGTCGGTCATGAGGTCATTATATATGTACATATATACAATATATGGTAAACAAACATATATATAATAAAAATTAACCATAAAGTTTATGTTATGTTTTTTGCATCTTCGGCTTATGCAAATCGGCAGATTATTGAATTGCACACTTTTCAGGATGTAATTAGACCACCATACCTTAATCTGACGTTTTCAAGTATTTGTAGCTCATCAAAATATTTTTTAAATATTTTGATCGGCTACCCTAGACGGACGCCCTTATATAGAGGACTTAGGTATATTATGGTGGAGGTACTCAACAGAGTTGAAGGTAGATGCCCCTTATAACTGTAAAAATCCCCTCTTGGGCTCGCCTACCACAATAGTTGCACGGAATATTAGAAAATTTCAGAAAAGTTTCTCTGAAATTTGTTTTTTCAATACGTCAAAGATCATAAATTTTATTAAAATTTTGACAAGACCACGCCTGTTGGATCAGCTATTATTATTTCTAACGTTCGACCATAATTTTTTTTAATTGATAACACTAAAGGTCCTAATAAACAAAAATAAATGGTTGCGCGTAACCTTTACGCGCAACTGTAGTAAAACTTCTTTGGCAAATGTCGCAATTAAATTAAAACAAATCAATAATTAAATAAGGCATATTAGGCATATTACAATAATATATTTATAGAATATCATATACGAAAAGAATATAATATTATATATTTGTCAGACAATAACAACGGTTACCGTGGCAATTCAGCTTTCCATATCTTTATATTATTTCTGAGTAATAAGGCAGTGACCTGAGGATATGATAAAATTTTATTAGGGTTCAGTTTTCCTTTTGGGTACGGAACCCTTTAACGTTTCAATATAATACATACATACATATCTGTCATATTATTATTAACAACATAATATAATTGGCACGCTTTAAAACATTAACAGGAAAATTAAAAGATAAGATAATTTAATAAAACATCACGTTAACATTATTTATGGAAAACAAATTGAAATATGTAGAACTACTTAGCACATTTATGTAATAACTAGCGACTCACGTTTTAACAGTTTTGAGTACAGATTTCTCAGAGATGAGACATTTTTCCACATTAAAAAGTATCCTATATACGGATAACCAATTATCATCATACCAAATTTCATCAAAATCTGTCCAGTGATTTACTCGTGATGCATTCCCAGATAGATAGGCAAACATTCTAAAAACTATAGATTCAGCCTCTGTGTCGATAATAATGAGTATTTAATAAGATTTTCCAAAAAATATTCGATATACAGACTCAGTTCGAATTTTATTATATGTATAGGTACAATATACATACTTAAGCACTTTTATTATAATTAAGTACATATAATCATAACAATTTATATAATTACTAACAGTCATATAAATTAAATCAATTATTATAAAAAAATAAACTTATGAAAACACAACAAAGAAATGCAAAGACATACAAATCATAAAATATATCATTATTCGATCCCAGCAATAAATATACGTTCAAATTACGTTATCTTTGTTTCAACTTTCAAGAAAAACATCACAAATAGAACTCATTCAATAAATTAAGTGAACAATAATAATATTTATGAGCCAACTATAAAGCATTCCTGTTCCTAGGTCAGGAACTACGGTTCTAACTGTAACAACGCTAGGCCAGAATCCTCGCACGTACTTCATCCGCGATGGTTTTTGGACACTTTGCAACGGCATTGTCCAGTACCCGATTGCTACTCAACCACACAATGTGTTCACTGAGCTCTTTTCCTCACCCAGATGTATCGGACAGGAAGTAAGTAGCTCTTTTAATATCTAAACTAATATTATAAAGAGGAAATATTGGATTTTTTGTTTGTTTGTGTGTACTGAATAGGCTCCGAATCTACTGAACCGATTTAGAAATTTGATAAGAAGATAGTTTGAGACATTGAGAAGAATATATATATATTTATCACGGAAATAAACCCTTAAAGGGGTGAAAATAGAGATGAAAGTTTGTATGGGGAATCGCGGATCGAATCGGAAAAGCGAAGGTGCGTCGCTAGTTGGAGATAATAATAATAATAATAATAATTTAGCCTTTTTATTTCCTTAATAAAATTACATTAATAGTATTTTTATAGAGCATGCACTTAGTATATAACAATTTTATAAAAAAACAAAAAAAGAAATAAAATCTTTTTAAATAGCCTGCACAATAAACAAAAACTTAACTACATTTAATTTACTTCTATTTTAACAATATTTTTTTTTATTTTTTTATTTATTATTGTTAATATATATATATATATATTATTTTTTTTTGAATTTATTAAGGACCTCTCCATAGAGTAAAGGCCTCCTCCATTTTTTTCCACATAGTTCTGTCGTTGGCTTTGTCTAACCACTCTTTTCCTGCTGTTCTCAAAATTTCATCGAGCCATCGCTCCGCCGGTTTACCTCTGGTTCTTTTGCCTATAGGTCCCTTCCAGTTGGAGATATAGGTAGTATATTTTCTTTAGTTCAGTAACCAAATGAAAACTATTATTAATAATTACCAGTAATTCTTAATACCAACTAACACAGAGGGTTAAAGTGATATTAAGTTAATAATTATTATAATTAAGGTGCCTGCCATGATCCGAATCAGATCTGTTACCAGACTTAAGTATAACGTAAAGTACTGTGGCTCACATTCGGGAACAACATTGAATAAAATTAATAAATTACAGTAAATTGAAATATTTATTGAACTTACCAAGTGTTACAGATATTATCAATTGCCTACTTAACCGAACTAAATTACTTTAAAAAATATATTTAAAAGTGAGCTTTTATTTGTATAATACTACATATTAGGCTAGTAGTACAAAGGCTTATCCACGCAAGTCGTTCTGCTCGGATGCGCTCTACAAGAGACAATTAATTCCAACTTAGGTAAAGCGCCATTTACATGGAGAGAGTTTATTGCACGTTTTGGGGCGAGAAGTCGTATGCTTATTTATTATCTATTACAAACATCATAAGATTATAATTTTCACAAAATGTTTATAAATTTAGCAGTTAACTTTCCTAGACAATCTCTATTTTTATTGGGGAAAAACCGTATGAAAACAGTACTGTAGCTTCTGATAAAACCTAACAAACACAATTGTATTCAGCCTTCTTAACGTCCCACTGCGAGCACGGGCCTCCCTTCAATATGAGGGGGGATCATGCCATAGTCCACCACGCTGGCCAAGTGCGGGTTGGCAGACTTCACATGTCTTTCGAAAACTTGCTAAGTTCTCTCAGACATGCAGGTTTCCTCACGATGTTTTCCTTCACCGTAAGGCAAGTGGTAATCATGTTGAAAATGATTCGCACATAAAAATATCAGAGGTGCGAGACCCGGGATTTGAACCCGCTTCCCTCGGTTACCCAAGCAAGCGCATCACCACTGGGTTACCACTGCCTTTTTAAACACAAACTTAACTTTAATTATATTATAGTAGTATATATGTACTTTTAATATAGTGATGATTAACTTCTCCACAGGTGAGAGCAAGACGTGATACTTGTGCTTTTAATTCGCTCATCAAGTATGATACTGTACCAGCGACAAAACGTTCCACGTATATTGAAGATAACTATCTATGCCTTAAGCCATCCTTCAACCACACGCTTGAAACCTATATGTCAGTACCAAAACGGATTGTCGACGAAACATGTAAAAATGGTAAGATCCTTTTACTTCGTTTTCGCTCTATCTTTCGCGACGCTATTTTGTTTAGATCACATTGGCAGTAAAATTAATTACACTGTCACAATATTTTTTTGAAGAATTTTATATTCATTTTATTTATCGACTTATCCTTGTTTCGCTCGGGTGCGAACCCCCGGTTCGTTTTATATATTTTTGACCCGAACCCTAATTCTTTTTCTATAATAAAAGTAGCCAAGTTACTCCATATAACATCAGCTATCTACTCGTGAAAGTCCCGTCAAAATCAGTCCTGCCATGTCGGAAATTACCTGGAACAAACAGACAGACAGACAGTGATTTTCTTATACGAGTAGGTAAGTACCGTATATAATTTAATATGCATTTAGTAAAATGCTGTTATTTTGACATAACAAACAGACACTTCAATTTTATTTGTCTATATAGATGAATTTCGACGGTGACTAACGGTCTTGCCCTCATCTACATCCATACTATAATAATATAAATGTGAATGTGTGTTTGTTTGTTTGTCCTTCTTTCACGTCGAAACTGCGTGCCGAATTGGCGTGATTTTTTATGTGCAGATAGTTGGAGGGCTAGAGAGTGACATAAGCTACTTTTTATTGCAGAAGTTTATTTCTTGCCCACGGGAAAACACGTTATACCTAATACAATCCAAAAAATATTTATGATCAGAATTACTTGAAACTTGGTGTTAATGCTCTTCAATACAATTAAATAAATACGTGTTTTAGCATTTTTCGATATACATCCCATTTGTAAAAAAATTTTTCGATTAAGGGATTCGTTTGTGAAGCTTTAAAGTGCTAATTTTTGTTAGAGTCGAAGTATCTTCCCCAAGCCCCATCCCAGCTAAACGATTGTTTTTGGATACGTGAAGAAATTCACGGTAGTAGTATACATATATAACGAAGTTAAAAGGAAAACTATCATAGCATCCTTAGAAAAAGCCCTCTTCTTTGTCCACATTATTGTGATGAGAAACTACAGAACTCTACATTACGCGTGGCCCGACACGAACTTGGTTATTTAAAATTACGTTGAATCCAAGTATGTTCGAGAGAAAAAAAATTAAAATCAAAATTCATATTTTCTGTTACTTAAAAGTGACTCTAGGCCGACCACTTATTGTGTATTAATCTCCCATTTCCCGTGGAAATTGTAGATTTTCCAGAAATAGAAAGTATTCTAAATATTAACCCTATTTGGGTTCAATAAATGATCACTGCACCGTTCAGTATTTATAATAGACAAACAGACCTACAGACGTTTGTTTGTCTGACAAAAAGACAAAAAATTCAACAATTATTGCTTTGGGTGTTTATACGAGTATTCTGTACACAATATGTTACAGTCATTGTTTCTAAAAAATATTTCATGTACAGATTCCGCTAAGTTACTGTTTTATTATAAGTATGTAAAGATAAATAACTATGGTTATATAGGGTTATTGGTAATTCGACGTATTCACTTTAGGAGGTGATAGGATATAACTATTTAGGATAATTTGAACCTCCATGTGCATTTTACAAAAGTGAACCATTTTTGAGTTATCATGTTTTTTAGCTTTTTTCAAAATAAGTATAAAATGCAACATTAAAAATTTATTAAAAAAAAGAATCAATTTAAACGTCATTTTTTCTTATGATTTATAAAAACGATTTAGCACTTTTTATTTATTAATATTAAAACAACAATTATTAGTTCAAATTTAAAAATTATATGCAGTAAAAGGTTTTTTTTTATTATAAATATTTTAGACGATGAATTTACTTATTTTGATAAGAATTCAGAATTGTTGATAAAATGACCAATAAACATAACCTACCGATTTAAATTATTTTTTAATCTAAAAAACTACTTTTTTGACTTAAATATAAAAGTTAGACATATGCTGTCGCTGACTTTTTTGTAGGCATTAACTTTTCTCTAGAATAAAACTATCTTTTCGGATTTTGTCGCGGATTTATTTGTATTTTTGTTTCCCGACGTTTCGAATGCTTTACAGCATCCATGGTCACGGGAGAGATGGTCTCTAAAATCAAAAAATCCATAAAGATAGTTTTATTTAAAATGTCAAATATTCGCGTAAATCTAAGAAAGTATTATTTTCTCTAGAACATAATCATATATCTCTCATCGTTAAGGCAGCGGTCGTAAGAAACGTTTTCGTTCGACCATTTATTCTCCGACTTACTTTGCAAATCCGACTACCATGAAAAAGTCTCTACATTCTTCGGGTTAATATATAGCCTATGACACTCAGAAAGAACGTGGCTTTCTATTGGTAAAAGAATTTTGAAAATCGGTTCAGTAGATCCAGAGATTACCCCCTATAGCATCACAAACACACAATATCACAAACTTTACCTCTTTATATTATTAGTATAGATATACATACATACTTAAATACGTCGAATTACAAATAACCCGGTATACGGAAACGTTATTTCTAGCTAACCTGGTATTTACATGACTTGCAAGTGAAAAACATAAACAAATTAATTATTTTATCATCGTAACATAACGTATTGTGTACCTACCGATGTGTGTTGACCTTGTCGTGATGGGGGAGGGGGCTCATTATCACCCAGCAATCCAGCCGGGCGCGAAGCCAAGAGACACTGTGACCAACTTCGGTGGGCGATGTACCATGCGGGTTGCTCCTAGTACTTCTCTGATAGCAGAGTGGACCGTGGGAGCTACCCCTTGGTTATGTGGTCTGCTTCGGCACGTCTACCATCGGGGCGTCGTGGTGGAGTGCATAAGCGATCCTGCGACGCTCCATTAAGACGGGGAGGTTCTGTTCGGTTTTAGTGAATAGTACTGGCTTTTCTAGCCGGTGAGTCCCACATAACCACCTGTATGTATACAGGTGGTATGCGTAAATGCATTTCCCAATATTAAAAAAGGTAGTCTAGGTGATATCCTATCTGTGTACTAATTTTCATCAAAATCCATCCAGACGTTTCAGCGTCAAGCTGTAATAAACATACACACACACGCACACGGGCATGGACACGAACACGCACACGCATACGTAAAAATAAATAAATACTCTGTATTTTCTGAATTTAATGAATTTTCTAATAAATAATTAAATCCCTTGAAAAACATAACATGTAAAAAAATGCAAATTGCTTTGCAATTCATACACATATAGTAAGTAGATACACATGTTTATTAGAATACACAAAGATATAGATAGATCATCAAATAACAACTAGTTTTTGTACCTATAGTAGTTTTTATACGTTAGCAATGAGATAAATCTAATATGTTTTTCCTCAACGTGTACATTGTACATAATATATAGTTTTAATGTAATTAGGTTTTGTTAGTCTGTTCGAATGTAATAGCCATTTAACTCTTTGCCCTATTGATAAAATTTGGAATTAAGTAGGTGTCATCTATACCTAAACCCGCATAGATTTTCAATTTACGTCTAAAATCCACAAAAGAAATGACTTCATCAATCAAAATATACTTTATTCAAAGTTCATAAAGATTTTACAAGCACTTTTGAATTGGAGATTATTTTTATTTTTTTAAATCTTACTAATACAATATTTATGTTAAAGTTTAGATGGATGTTTGGATATTTATTACTCAATCACGCCAAAACGACAAAATAGATCTGTATGAAATTTGGTACAGAGATAGATTATAGTTTGGAATAGCACATAAGCTACTTTTTATCCCGGAAAATGTACGGTTCCCGTGGAATGGATTTGTTTTTGTATTAAACTAAATGTCAGTAAATGTCCTACCTATTAAATAAAATCTATACCAACTAAGATTATAAAAAGACAGAGTTTATTTGATTGAACGCGCTAATCTCAGGAATTATTAATCCGATTTGAAAAATTCTTTTTGCATTAGATAGTTTGCTTATTGAAGAAAGCTTTAGGCTATATATCATATAATATATAGTCTATCTATTACATACTAACATTTAAAACCTAGGGATGATGCCGTTACGTTAGACAATGTAACGATTTGTATATTTCAACTAGTATTGCCCGCGCTCCGCCTGCGTTCAAATAACCAAAAACCAAATTCTTAGTTTTTACATATTAGTATACTCTTACAGTTTCTTGCAGTTTTTATATTTTTTATGCAATTAAAAGTATCCTATATGTTGACCCCGATAACCAGCTATCATCATACCGAATTTCATCAAAATCCGTCCAGTGTTTTTTCCGTGATACGGGTACAGACAGACAGATAGACAGACAAAAATTCTAAAAACTATAGGTTCGGCCTCTGTATCGACAATAATTTCTATTTCAATAAGATTTTCCAAAAAATATTTCATGTACAGATTCGGCTCAGTTAGAATTTTATTATATGTATCATATCATCTATCATCATTTTAAATAAGACTATCTTTTCGGATTATTTCGCGGATTTATTTTGATTTTTGGTTCCCGACGTTTCGAATGCTTCACAGCAATCATGGTCACGGGAGAGACTGAGGTGTGTTACATGTCTTGAAGGTATAGTTGTCAGACAGCCTACCCACAATTGGACCTGTAAATCTATGAAAGTATTATCTATAGATCATTTAAGGAAAGAATATAATATTACGTATATATCATTTCTCAGACAATAACAACGGTTACCATGGCAACAAACAGTTATCACGTAACTTCATTATGTCGCTTTTGGGTGTCAGTGTGCGCACGTATCGTAAAAATTTTACTCCCATAAAATGACGATAAAATGTACATAGCTAAAGCTGGCTAATAACTATTTATATCTATTTAAAACGTACCCTGGGATGCGCCCGAACGAAGCTAGTAGTATTTTGACATTTAGGTATATTGTTTGACCACGGTAATGTTATACATCCAGCATTATGACCGCCCTGTCCTTCAAATAATTATCTACAGCCGCGCGGTACGTAACCACGTGACAAGGCTGCCCGCCGCGCCGGCCAGTATTTTAATTTCATCTACCTACTTGAGTTTCTGTCTAGTTTTGTGATTGTAAATATTAGATTTTTTCAAAAGAAATAAAATTCGTTGTGAATGAAATAGGTAGTGTTCAATAAAAGTACATGTTATGTTCTTTGTAATCAAACTAATGTACTAATGTACATTTAATAAAAAAAACCATTCTTATAAATTTAAGACTGACATTTAAGACATTCTTATAAATATTTGTGCCTCGACTGAGACGTACGAAAAGCTTTATTGTTAAATTGAATAGTATAAAAATCCCCATAATATTCACAAATCGCACGCTTACTGCTTACAAAACCAATACACCGTTCGTTTGTCACTACGGCGCGGCGCATTCGCGACCACAGAACACTTTTACTCGGGAGTTCGCGACTGCAGCTGTGTACCGAATTTATACCGAATTAACCGAAAAAACCCACTTGTATTATATATTAGAGTAAATCCAAAAATCCCCTCTTGGTTTTCCCTACTATTATGTATCCAAACCGTGAGCCAATAGCATCTTACGTGCATTGGCTGACCGTTGGGAGTTGGGACTCACCAACCGACACTTGGGCACTGGATGCGATTGCACACAGTGAAGTAACTACTAACTACACTCAAGTTTCCGGAAGAAACTATTTGTTAGATTTTATTATTATTATTAAATTTAATTAAGCCTCCAGGTAAATTTATAAGAAATTAATTAAATTTCTAAGAAATCTATTGTTAACTGTAGCTAACGCCGACGTGTCCGCGGTCGTAGAAGGACTAAAAGTAAAACTAATTAAGTACTATGGATTATACTATATTGATCTGAAATAAATACTTATTATTATTAGGACTCTCGTTCCAACCGTTTGTATGAAGAGAGAAAGAATACTGGATATTAGTTGTTAGATAGTAGTCGGACTCCTAGTAGGTATATTCTCGTAATTATTTAGTCTGAGTAAAGATATTATCATTCTATAGATCTGAATAGTATCTTAATTGCGTACCAGCGTCTCACGACTTATTGGATAAAAAATCGACACGTGTTAAGGTCATTGTACCTTGAGCGGCCTCATAAAGTGCCAAACTAGAGGTCATAACGATTTTTGACGATTATTAATAGAAAAAAAACTAAAAAAAAAACGATTTCCAGGCACTTAAATGTAAAAAAAAACTTAACCGGGGTTTTCATTTAGAATAGATACCTAATCAGATATTTTCGAAGTCGGTGCCAGCCGATGCAAAGCAAATCTAATATACCTATTTCGATACGTAAAACACATATTTACTTACCTATTAAATATTCATATCTTTAAATATTGTCGACTGGCATCGACTTGGAAAACATCTGATTAGGTATCTATTCTAAATGAAAACCCCCGTTTAGTTATTTTTAACGTTTTAGTGCCTGGAAGTCGGTTTTTATCTTTTTTAAGAAAGTTTCTATTTGTCCATTTTTAGTGTAGACGTAATAAGCAGGTAATTTGTTACAAGAAAGTTTTTTAATAACATGTTCGATTAAGCAATTTATTTAAAAAAAAATTTATTTGTTGATTTTTAAAAAACCGCTTGACCGATTTCGATAAAATTTATATGGGACCACCTGGGAAGACCCCTTTGAAACAAAAAAATATATTTCCAAATCGGCTGTTTAGGCGTCTTCGAGTCAATCGGTGAACATACATACATTAAAAAAAAGATTCCGACGAATTGAGAACCTCCTCCTTTTTGGAAGTCGATTAAAAACAAAACAACAAATAGCGGCCTTCAGTCTAAGTTTTTAAACCATACTTCACAATACATTTTGATTTGGACTTTTGAAACTTATCAATCTTCAAATTTTAGATCGGACTAATATTAGGTACAAACTACAAAATTTAAATGCAAATGTTTGTTTGTGTGTTTATTATTCCATAACGTTGTAACGGCTGGACGAATTTGGATAATATTTAGGACACAGATAGGTGATAGACTATGTGTTACTCCAACACATAGGATACTGTTATGTATCGCCACTGATATACCCCCATTAAACTTATCATTTTAATTTTAATATATAATCAAATTTTATTTACAGGTGTTATCAAAACCATGCCCGAAAATATTTTAGATTGTGGACTGAGAGTTTTACTGGAATACGTGTTCTATCCTAACAGAAGTCAATTCTCTATGTTACCTTTCGAATATTGTACTGAAAAAGATGGCGCTTGCAAACTTACAGTCGGGTGGCACCTATCCAATACATCTATAGAAAATTTTGAATTTTTAAAGACGGAAAATAATTTTAAAAAGTTTTTTATTCAAAATGATCACTATCTTGAACCATTCATATAAAATAATTGTGTTAAGTTGTTATATCTTATCACATTTTTTTAATAAAAATAAATAACAATGTGTAGTATTTTGTCTTTTATTAATCATATCATTGTCAGTTACTTATTAATTCTTAACTATAATAACTGAAATTTTTCATTTAAATTTGAAAAAAAATCAACTTTTATAAAAACACTAGCATAAAGCATTGCCCGCGGCTCCGCCCGCGTTCAGATGACTAAAAACCAAATTCTTAGGTTTTATATATTAGTATACTCTTACAATGCAGTTTTTTGTATTTTTTCTCAGAAATGAGATATTTTCCCGCGATAAAAAGTACCCTACATGTTGACCCGGATAACCAGCTAAAACCATACCAAATTTCATCAAAATCCCTCCAGTGGTTTTTCCTGTGATGCGGTAACAGACAGACAAAAATTCTAAAAACCATAGATTCTGTATCGATAATAATGTTTGTTTCAATAAGATTTTCCAAAAAATATTTTATGTACGGCCATAGTCCACCACGCTGGTGGCCAAGTGCGGGTTAGCGGACTTCACATGTCTTTCGAAAACTTGCTAGGTTCTCTGAAACATACAGGTTTTCTCACGATGTTTTCCTTTACCGTAAGACAAGTGGTAATCATGTTGGAAATGATTCGCACTTGAAAATATCAGTGGTACGAGACACGAGATTTGAACAGGCTTCACTCGGTTTCCCAAGCGAGCGAGTAACCACAGGCTTGACACTGTGGTAGCTCTGTGGTAACGCGCTCGCTCAATAGGTCATTAACGAGAAAAAAGTACCTACCTTTTTTTTTAACGTTGGGAAATGCATTTACGCATTAGTACCTACCTTTTTTTTATGCCGCCATGTGGGACGCCACGGGATCGCTCTCGCATACAACCGCGAGCATTAGTACCTACCTTTTTTTTTTTTTTTAACGTTGGGAAATGCATTTACGCACGACGTGTGGTACTCACCGGCGTAATACAGCCAGTACTACCCACTAAAACCCAACAAAACCTTCCCCCGTCTTAATGGGGCGTCGCAGGATCGCTTACGCATTCAACTACGACGCCCCGACGGCAGGTCTGCCGAAGCAGACCACCACAACCATGGGGTTGCTCCACAGTCCACTCTGCTATCAGAGAAGTACCAGGAGCAACCCGCATGGTACACCGCCCCCCGAAGAGGGCCACCTCCCACCGCCCACCGAAGTGGGTAACCTTCCTGTGCGTTTCTTAGCTTCGCGCCCGGTTGGATTGCCGGGCACTACTGAGCCCCTCCACCACGACAAGGTGAACGCACGTTGGGGGGGATTAGTACCTACCTTGATTGACTCATATCAAATAACTTTTGACGGATCAAAGTTTAGATTCTTTAGCTAATATTTGATATTTGCCCGGTAATTTTGTCCAACTTTAAAAAGAAGGCGTTACTCATAGAAAAAATATGAAAATAAATTCACATTTGGCGAAGATTTAGCCGATATAAAATTTTTTAACGAATAGGTTATACATAATATCTCAGGGTGGTCTCAAATCAATTTCTAAAAAAATCCAATCCTAACAATATAATTATAACTTTTATATAATTGTGTTACCGACTTATTTATACACGATTATTATTTTAAAAGAGCATCTGTTAAGTTTCTCGCCAGTTCTTCTCAGCAAAAAAACTGCATTCTGAGTCGTTGGTAGCTTCCTAACTGAATGACTACACTGACCTTTAATTTTAATTTAAAATGTAAAATTGATGATTCAAAACAGCTTGTAAAAGTCTATTTGAATAAAGTATATTTTGATTTGATTTGATATATAAATTATTTAGAGTTTGATTTTCTTTCTCATGCTTAAAAATAAAGTAAAGATAAAGAATAGAAAAAGTCATGAAATTTGTTCTAATTATTATTAATTAGATCTAATTATTATAGGCAATGCTAGCCCAGTGATACGCGCTCGCTTGAGAAACCGAGTGAAGTTCGAATTCCGGGTTTCGTACCTCTGATATTTTCATGTGCGTATCATTTCTAAAATGATTACCACTTGACTTACGGTAAAGGAAAACATCGTGAGGAAAACTGCATGTCTTAGAGAACCTAGCAAGTTTTTGAAAGACATGTGAAGTCCGTCAACCCGCTTTTGGCCAGCGTGGTGGACTATGATCTGATCCCTTTTCGTATTGAAGGGAGGCCCGTGCCCAACAGTGGGAAGATAAGTTAAAAAAATGGCCTTAATTAATACAATATTGTTATTTTGACTTAAATGTTGCAAGTGTACGTAATTCCGATTGTTATCGGATATATCGTGCTGTTGCACGATAATTTAATATCTTCAATGGCTATTTGCTACTAATAAATTCTTGAGTATTTATCATTATAAAGATAAATTCATGCAATAGTTATCAGCTCAATTACGTAAGGGTTTTGTTATAGGTAGGGATATAAATAATATTTTAATACTTACTAAATATATATATAAAATAATTACTAGGGCCAAATGATACGTTAAGTTTAAAAAATATATTATTTTAGTTAAAACTATCTTTTCAGATTTTTTCGCGGATTTATTTTGATTTTGGTTCCAGACGTTACGTAATCAGTTTTCGAATGCTGTGAAACAATCGAAATGTCGGGAACCAAAAATCAAAATAAATCCGCGAAAAAATCCGAAAAGATAATTTTATTTAAAATGTCAAATGTTCGCGTAATTCTAAGAAAGTTTTATTATTTTAGTCATACATAATACATACGTCATAGTTATATCAATTTCTTTGATAATAATTATTACATTAAGAAGCATCCTTATTCCTCATTCCATAATACATATTTCTATACACCTAAATTGCAGAATAAACTTTTTAAATAATATAAACGAGTTCATCGGCTCCAAAAATGACTCATTACGAACGAAAGGAAATCTCATTCGGTTTTTTATTAGTTTTAGTATCCATTGTGAAGACTTATATATATATATATATATATATATATATATATATATATAAACACATACGTATTATTGTACTAATATAGAAAAAAATTGAGAGTAAAAAGGGCTATCAGAATGTAATATTAAATTGTTTCCTGCTGTGACGCATCAACTTTATTCAGATCGAGCAGTAGTAAAAAAACTGTTAAAAATACACCATATGAGGATGTCCCCTTCAACTTTTCATATAGTAAATAGCATAAATATTAAAAAAAAAACATTTGTTTCTATAAACGTGACATTAAGGATATTTACTAAAATAAAAAAATAAACATCTATCCTGAAAGAATTGATTCACTACTTCACAGTTATATATTTTAATATTTTTTTCATTATATATGTAACTTATTTTTTATAAATAATGTAAGGTTTTATAAATAATTTCTACTTACCGTTCGAATCCATAATAATTTAAAGGAGTCCTTCAAAAATTATAAACTATTCACTTTTAAAAATACTCAAATATCATGTGTATTATTCAATATTAAACATTTAACAAAATTAAACCAAAACTACTTAACGAAATGAAACCACGCGAATATTAACAAACGCAAAATGTAAATGGAGTCTATTCCCCACGACAAATGTCCGCCGGTTAATAACAGCAAGAGACTAACTGTTCTGCTCTTCCATTATACATAAACTTATATATGTATCTACTACGACATAGCACTTTGTGAAACGATAATATAAAGTCGAGTCCACGCGCCAAATTGAAGTCGAGACAAGGGACGAGCATATTGCCGTTATTTGCAAAATTGATACTAATTGATTGATATTTATCGTGATTTACAATGCCTCTAGGCTCTAGCTGCATTATAAAGGGGAAATATAAATCAGACTTCATATTTGGCTCTACTATTGGTGGAGACTAATTTTTCCTTGTGACTTTTTAAAATAAAACTATCTTTTCGGATTTTTCGGGACATTTTTTCGGAGACTCCTACGTGACTATGATTGCTGTTAAAAGTATTTGAACGTCAGGAACCAAAAATCTAAATTAATCCGCGAAGAAATCCGAAAAGATAGTTTTATTTAAAAGTGTCAAATATTCGTGTAAATCTAAGAAAGTATTATTTTCTTGTGACTGCAGCATTTGACAGTAGATACTACATAGGATGTAGGTACTCATTACATATTATCGTCTGCTAATACCTAAATATTTATGTATATGTACATTGTACATTTATAATTATATTAGGCTACTGTAGACTAATAAAAATACTCATGTAGTCAATTACCAAAAAAAAAACAGAAGAATACTAAATTAGACGAGAAAAGAGCTCTATTTATCACTTTGTCTCTTAAAGTTGTATTCAAAATATATTTGCCGGTTACAAGATCGAACCCGGGATCTCCTACATATATAATTTTTATAGTATTGTGTATTTTTTTAATAATTATAAAGATTACTTTTATCAGCGATCTGCTAATAATTATCAGTAAATAAATTTCGTCCGAACACAATATTTATTACGATAAATAATAATATCATAGACTACAAGGCTAAAAAATTTCATAGGATTTTAAACACTTTTTATACATTTAGGGTTTTATACATGGTAATAACGAAATAAAATACAAAACAAATCCATCCGTAATTTTTTTGCTACGCTCAAATTTTTTATTTGTATTCAACGTGAAGAACCTAATTAACTTAAAATTTAATATATTTAATTAAGACTTCTCACATTAATTCTATAATATTGTAGCTGAAGTTGGCAATAAATGAAAAAAAGTAGTCGAAGAGAGTAATGGTAGGGGGTGGTGGATTGATGTGTGGGTCACCTTGGCGTGGTGGGGAGACACTGGGAGACGGTCCACCTTGGTAGGCGGTGTGCCATGCGGATTGCTTCTGGTACTCCTCTGATACCAGAGTGGACCGTGGAAGCAATAAAAAAAATTTTTTGCAGACCTATGTATTTAATTTTTGTGTCTGTCTGTTACCGCATAGCAGAGAAACTACCTACAATGATATTTATTTATTATTTTAATTACCAAATTTAATGTAAATCACTTTAGCCGTTTATTTTACGCGTGATTAACAATCAAACTTACAATCATTCACGTATTTTAGACTATTAGTAGAATTATAATTAATTACATTATATAGTACGATAATTCTAGCATTGCATCTCTTTGACTCTTTTCGAATTGTATCGTTCGTAGGCAGATAAACTAAATAAACAATAAACTTTGCCGCGGGCGTATATGTGGCGTATTCTTTGATCGTGGATTGTCTGATGCTTTCTTGCGTGGTGCGCGGGTGCAGCGCGCTAAGACCCGCCCAAACACTCAAGGCCATTGGGGACACAAATCGCCTTACGATTTCCCAAAAAATATAAGCATAATGTACAGATTCGATTCATTTAGAATTTTATTATCTATACTATAATAAAACAGTAGAGGTCGAATGTCTGTTCATAGCAAAAAAATTCTAAAAACCGAGTCAGGGGGATGTAAGAAGACAAATAGAACAAATCCAGAATTTTTGTTAAAAAAACTATAATAACTTATACAGCTTAGTACACAAAAACTACTGATTGGATTTTAATAAAACTTTACAATAATATAGTTTATACATGAAAATAACAAATCGACTACTTTTCATCTGGGAAAATTAAAGCTCCCGTGGAACAGTCAAAAAACTATAGTAACATATACAGCTTAGTACATAAAAACTACAGATTGGATTTTGATGAAACTTAACAATAATATAGGTCATATAAGTACATCAGAATAACAAACAGGTTACTTTTTATCCCGGAAAAATGTACGATTTCCGTGGGATAGATGCTTTCGTTTATTTGTAACGTATTATGTACACAACACAGACCCCAAAACAATAGCTATTAAAAAAATGTCTGTTTGCCTGTATGTCTGTTTGTCTGTTTTTGTATGCGCGTTTCACGCGAAAAGCAATGAACCGATTTCAACGAAATTTGGCGAAGTGATAACTTATTACTCGAGTTAACGTTTAGGATACCTTTTACTTCAAGAAAATCTTTCTTTCTCACGGGAAGAGACAATAGCTGGTTTTATCGAGTCCTCCCTAGAAACCTTCCGCTGGCTAAACCTTAAGATAAACATACATCAAAACAATATACTAAAAAATTGTAAGTCTTGAAAAGTCCTACAGGAAAGTATGTATATCTTCTAAGCAATATCTATTCTTATCTATACCTAATACCTATAATAAAACTAACTTAGTCAAATCGATGCGCGTGTTTCACGCAAAAAGTACAGAACCGATTTTAACTAAATTTTGTATAATGATAACTTAGTACTCGGTTCAACATTTAGGATACCTTTTACGACAGGAAAATTATTCATTCCCACGGGAAAACACAATAATTGGTTTTATTGCATTGTCCTTCGAAATTTATATGGCTAAGCTGGCTCAACCATAAGAGATAGATCAAAACATTACATACAAGAAAATTGTAAGTCTTAAAAAGGTCGATAGACACGTTTGGCTCAGTTTGTAGTGACCCTACTTGCTCTGCCAGCGGTCACGGGTTCGAGTCCTGCTGAGGGCATTCATTTGTGCATTAATGTTGAGCATGAATGCTTGTACTCCAGTCATGGGTGTTTATATTTATAATATGTATGTATTTAAAGTTTTATATGTGTAGTGTATCAACTATCTGGTATCCATAACACAAGCCTCGTAGCTTACCGTGGAACTAGACGGTGCTGTGCGTTAATGTCTCAACATATTTATTTATTACTTATATCTCCTAAGGTAGTTGTAATCCCATCAAAAACATACTGTAAAAAAATTGCAAGTCTTGCAACGCATTTCTTCTACCGCAAAAAGCTATGAGATATAATGTAAAACCAAGTCGGTTAATTTATTCATTACCTATCTATGGAAGCATCTATCCGACAACTTTGTTATAAATCGTTACCGAATTAGTTAAGTTACAACATTTTATAGTGACCGTATTAATATTAGATATATTTATTTCTTTAATTAATAGAATGACTCGGCCATCGCACGGAATCATAATCTGCTCGTTTGTATTTTACAACGAATTCTCTTACTTCTATGTATGATTTGGTCGATAAGTGTAATTGATCTGGATTTGATCCTACCTAAACTAGCCATTGATTAGTTGTGAGGCTAATGCTGATGGAATCGCCTCTATTCTATCGTAGAACGATTTGAACGTAGAGACCGGTTTGTGTAGCTCCTGGATATCAGGAACATCCCGGGAGGCTACAAATGACTGCTTTTGCTGGTGTTTGCGCATATATTTAAAAAAAAAATGAGATTAGACACACAATTGAGAGCGGCTCTCGCTACGGTTTTGTCCCGATGTGATAAGGCACACAGCGATTGTCGTTATGAAAACACCCGAATCTTCGATTACTCATATATTTTTTATATTTGAGATCTTCTAGCACCTGACAGCGGCTCTCGCTACGGTATTGCCCCGAGGTGATAAGATACAGAGCGATTCTCGCTACGGAAACACCCGAGTGTTCGATTACTTGTATATTTTTTTTATATTTAAGATCATAAATACATATATGTTTTAATTTATACATTAAATATATTATTTCTTAAAACTATTTACAATATTGATAATTACATTTTAGTCGTCGCTAACACTTACAGTATATCCACTATTTACCTAGCTATCCATTTGGGTAGTTTCAGTGACGAAAAATGATGTGTATGAACTGCAAAAATAACTTTGTAATCCCATATATCGCATATCTATTTGTATAGGAATACAAAGTTACTTATGCAGTTTGTATATCTCGAAAACAGGACTGAAATTGCGTGTGATGTTTGAGTTTTTCCTTGGGTTATAGGCTAAACACTAATTGTTTTCAAAATTTGAGGCTCCTATGTCTGCTAGAAGTACCTTAGAATTTTGATGATCGGTGAGTGAGTGAGTGAGTGTCGATATTAACGAATTTTGATCTGCAACAGTTCTTAAACTACGGGTTCAAATAGAATGTAATTTGAAAATATACCTAGTTTTATTATGTTCTCTTAGTCACTGAAAATTCAGGCTTCTAGCTTTATCCATAACGAATTTATGGGGGGGTGGAAAAGACTCTGAATCGCTTCGAGAAAAGGATGGTACTGCCGTGCCCTTTTTTGCTCGACTTGGCGGGGGCACTCCGTGCCCCCCGATTCAGGCTTCTAGCTTTATCCATAACGAAGTTATGGGGGGGTGGAAAATGCTCTGAATCGCTTCGAGAAAAGGATGGTACTGCCGTGCCCTATTTTGCTCGACTTGGCGGGGTAGTAGTTATATAAAAGTCAATTAAGTAAGAAAAAATATATGTTAATTAATAATTATAAAAAATATTCTTGTTCATAAATAATTAATAATAATTGGTTATTAAAATTAAAATATCCGTATTAACTTTTTCCGTATTTAATTAATATTATAAATGTGAAAGTTTGTGAGTATGGATGTTTGTTACTCTTTCACGCTAGAACGGCTTAACGGTTCTGGATGAAATTTAGCACAGATATAGATTATAGTCTAGAATAACACATAGGCATACTTTTTATCCCGGAAAAATGTACGGTTCCCGTGGTATAGGTTTGTTTTTGTGCTCCGAACCCTAGCGAAGCGAGGGTGAGCCGCTAGTAAGAATAATAAAAGTGTAATTACTAATAAGTAGTTGTGTATGAATCTATCTATAAATATAATAAATTACTGAATCGAATCTGTACATTAAATATTTTTTCGAAAACTTTATTGAAATAGTCATTATTATCGATATAGAGTTTTTAGAATTTTTGTCTGTCTGTCTGTTTGGACCGCATCACGAAAAAACCTCTAGACTGATTTTGATGAAATTTGGTATGATGATAGCTATTAGCTGGTTATCCGAGTCAACACATAGGTAAGTTAGGGGTTGTACGGGGTACGCTTATGCACAAGTTGGCTAAAAGCTCTGGACAATCGACGTCTTTATTAAATAGACTATGCAACTCGCGAAAAAGACATTGCTAAAACTTTTTTTTTAATCTCAATCTTAAAATAAAAATATTGTTTTAGTGGTTGTTACTTTTGTATAATTCTGCAAATATATAATAAAATAATATTTAAAATATGATATATCTTTCGGAATATAACCAAAGCCCATACAAAAAGTGGACCTCTCTTTTTTTTCTTTAAAGTTTAATGGCTTAGAGTTGCGTTAACAGTAAACAGTCGCTAATCGTTATACATTCTGCCAGTTTCACGTTTTGTGAGGAAGACACGAATGAGATTGAGCGGTAATTTTGAAATTTAGCAACTTTAATATGGAATTAGAACTATAAATGAATGATCGGTCTACAGACTACATCTCGTTGTTCCTGGTCTATGGGTCTACAGGAGAAAGTAGACAGACTACTTTCGCGAAAAAAGAAATACTTGTTTTTCTGACAAACGTCAGATGTCAAATAATAAATAGATCAATTATGACAGAACGAAGTACCAGTGTAGCCAATTTAGGGAGTTTCCCCCCAAATTTAGTGGTAAAACTGATTTTTTAGGGGGGAAAAAATTATGGTTTTTTTATGGGCTTATAAAGTTTCGGTTAAAGACTTGGAAAGTTATATATCCTTGAATATCATTTGCATCATTTATCCTTTTTTTTATATTTTTTTTAAGTTATCTGTGAAGTATATTGAAGTGAAACTTCTTTAAAATCATTGTGATTTGAAACTCAGTGAAACGGAAATGCGACATTAAAAATAGACAAACATATAATTTAGCCGGCGAGAGAATGAGACAGAATACATTGCCATGTTGCCATTCCGTATATGATTTTCTATAAATATTTGATTGTAGTGTGCCTTATTTAATTCTTTGAGATGGAATACATTACACAAGAATTGAAAAAAATAAAATTAACTAGGTACTGAATAATATGTATTTATGTCAAATAAATTGTAAAATAACTTTTAAACTGAGTAAAAATATTATTACAAAATAAACCTTATAAGTATCCTACTTCTGATACTCTATATTCATCTCATTCTCTCGTAGGTTTTTTTTCTAAAGTTTCATTTCTACCTTGTATGAATTGCACACCCACGCGATGTTTTGAAGTAAAACTTCTTTAGGTACGCTTGACTTGGAAGGTAAGCTGGTAAAGGCGTCACGAAAAAATTTACGTACGTTTATTGCCATGGTAAGGGTATTTCTCCGAGATTGCGTTCTTCGTCTGATTTATCTGGCCAAAAATTATTTTCACTTTTAGCTCTATTCAACATACTTTTATGGTTAAAGAAATGCCAAATAACATATACTTGAATTACGCACTCATTTTAATCAAATAATTTTTGAGATATTTATCTTGAATTTTTTAGGGCTCATATGAATCAAAATTCGTGACAGATGAATCAGATACAGGAATAATAACAAAAAAAAACAAGTCTGTATAATATAATATTACTCTATTTTATTGTCTCAGACATGCAGTCCTCTTTCTTATGACAGCAACAAATGCCTCGCAGAACATCTACGACGCACTACAATATCTAGGCAGTCTAAACATTTGAAAAGACCAGAAGAAACATTGAAAACGTGTACGTGACAATAGGCCTTAAAGAGTGTAATTTTAACCAGGTCAGTACACGCAGCAAATCTACGGGCCAACATGTTGTTCCACGCATCGGCAATGCTCTACGTTCCCTCTCTATGTCGTCCTCATCTGTTAACATTTCATTTACTACATGTCCAAGGTATTTAAATTTTATAACACGATCAAGCTTAACATTATTTAGAACAACGTCAGGTACATAGTCAGATCCATTTTTATATTTAAATACCATATTAAGTGATTTTTTAAACTAAACCATGACCTTTAACATATTTTTCACAAATAGAAAGGAGCCTCTGCAAACATCTAATTGATGGACTGAGCAGCACCATGTCATCAGCATAGCTATGGCTACTTGCACTGCATCCGTCTATGTGACATCCTATACTATATATTATATCATTTTTCTGTCGCTGTGTTGCAGTCGCAGTATCGTGATGCTTAGGACCTGATCTTAATGATGATTGTAAGATAAATAACTTAAACAAAATGTACCACTTTATGATTATATGGGGTTTTGACCTCATGAATCAGACCCAGATAAATCAGAATTTTACCTAAAATCTTCCATTACCCGTTACATATATTTACATCGGTATTCGCATTTAACCACAAAAATCTATACCTCAAACGTATTTTTGGGGCATATATTCAAGTTTTAAAACTCTGTAACATAATTTGTAAATTAGACATATCAATCAGAAACCCACCTGAATCAAATACTTACTTTTGTATCTGCTGATAGACGCTGACCTGGCCGAACGTCTACTATTGAGCCCGTTCGTCGCACAACGGGCCCCATGCGGGTAGTGATGGTCTCACTTTTTGTATTTCGCCGAGTACGATCGAGTGAAACGCGCGCCATATTAATCAGAATTTTATGCCGGATATCTTTTATTTCTTTATTTAAAATAAGTAAACTAACGTAGATATAACTAATTGTTTCTTTGTGAAAAGATAACTAATCTTCTTTCGATGTGATTATAATTTATATTATTTTTTCAATAAGATAACGTGTTATTTATAATTTTGTTCAGAAAAATGGGGAACGGACACGTCATATGAATCAGAAGACCGAGTTTCAAACGATTTTTTTATATATTTAGAATGCAATTATTACACAAACAGAATTGGTCCAAGTTAGATAATAGTCTAAGGTGCATTAAAAAAAATCAGACCGTTTTATTAGGTAGTTACGGAGATAAACCTCCAGAACACGATTTGTAGATCACCCCCCGCAAAGGAAAAGTGGCGAAAAAGTTATGTTATGTCGACTGTTTACTTCGATTTTGCATGAAATTTAGAGTTTGTGGCGTTGTTTTAACTGTTCTGACCTAACCTAACCAAGATCTAGACGACAATTACCTAAGTTCATAGTTGTAACCTAACCACAAACTTCATACCTATAACTTATCAAAATGAATGGCTTAATGTAAAGGGCAAACTTTATTGCTGTTACATATTTGTGATAATGATAAATCATTTATTTATATTAAATAGGCATTTAGATGCCTTAAATAAGTAACTAAAATAACTTTAGATTGACACAAAATCAAATTTTTTGTTGTTATTGACCCAAAAAAACTGAAATATCTGTGAAATTGTTTATACCAAATAAAATATTGAGAATTTTCAAATAAAAATTAAAATACGCGTCAACTTATTATTTGCAAAATTAAAACGCGTAATTAAAAGTCTCTATAATGGCAACACTTCTGTCTTGCAAAATCAAAACACAATTAAAACTCCCTAAAATAGCAACACTTCTGTCAAAATTACGTCAAAAAGAATAAAATAGTGCAGAATTGAGGTTATGTTTATTAAACTTTGATATTTTTTTTCTTCGAAAGTATTTGTTTTTGCCCCTTAAAACTTTGTGGGATTACTCAAGATAATAAGTACTTTGCACAAAAAAATCAAGAGTCTACTAAGGGATGTCGTTTCAATAGCGGAGCCTAAAATAATATTCATATTTCTAATTTACTTAATTAAAATGTGAAAGGTGCACACTATTAGCATAACAATGAAATGCCATATACCAGGACCGAATGTAAAAGGTGAAATTGTTTATATAATTATGTTTAATACCTTGAAACTTGTATTTAACAATTTTAATAAACATCTTTTTTATAGTTCTAGGAAGAACTATACATGCTTTGGCTAGATTCGGTGATGAATTATATTTAGAATCCCTTGTAGACTGTATCGTTTTAAGAACTCTAAATGCAGCTGAAAGTGCTTATGCTATGGTTAAATTCAATAAGAGTTTCTTTTCTTACTTCAATTACAATTTTTATTCTACTGAAGATAATGATGGGCTCAAATGCAAAATATCTATGAAATCTGCTTTAAATGCTTTCAAATCCCCCACTCATATGGATAAACAAGTTGAGAACCTCGAAATAAAACTTGACCCAGAGTCATGTAAATTAATATTTCAATTAAAATGCAAACATGGGATTGTTAAAACACATTTTGTTTGTATATTAGACTGCAAAGCTATGCAAGCTGTGTACACCAAAGATCTTGTACCAAACAGGTGATTATTCTCATAACATGAAGAAATATCAAAACAATTTTGTAAAGTAAATAATTAAAAGATTTGAATTATTGCTTTCAGAATAACATCATCCCAGAGAGTTCTGTCAGAAGCTCTAGGCAATTTTCAACATTCAGATGACCAAATAACATTAGAAATCTCTACTCAATCACTTCTAATGCGAAACTATGTAGATGCTAGCATGGATTTGTCAAAGATTATAAGAACACAAATATGTATGAAACCCTCGGAATTTGTTAGTTACATTATTGGAACTGATACGACAATCACTTTTACTCTTAAAGAATTTCGAGCATTATTAGCTTTTGCTGAAGCCATGAGTTTGCCAATTCAATTGCATTTTGAAGTAACTGGTAAACCAGCAGTGTTTATTATACATAATGGTACCACTTTTGAGGCACATTTTGTATTAGCTACTTCCAAACCTGATATTGCTACTCCAGCATCAACTCAATATAGTTCACGTACAGAAAAAAGAAAAGAAACTAATACAACCCAACAATCAGCAAAAAAGAAACCCCATTTAGATGTTGATGTGGAAAAGTGCCTTGAAGAAGATTCTCATTTATTTAATTATATCGATATACCAGAAGAAAGTTTACATGTAGATAAAGTACCAGAAAATGATAAATTTGGTCAAGAAATGCTATGTATTGAAGATAACATGGACTGTGATAATATACCTGCATCACCAACTTCTCGAATAAAAATTAGATCTGTTTTCAAAAGGTGCTTTGAAAGTACTTTTGACCCTAGAAGTATACAACAAGCAGTATTGGCTGAAAACTCTGATAGTGATTGAAACTAGTACATTAATTTTTTTTTATTTATTCTCTATAATAAAACAAAGTTGGAAAATGTTATATTATTATATATACTATATACATATTAGTAGGCACATCTGAACAAGTTCACACAAATAATGTGTTAAAAGTAATAATATCCTTTAATTATTGTAATGGCTTATGTTGTACATAAAGTGTTTTTATCTGGTTTTGAATCACTACATTTTCTTTGTGAATGTATGTGGAGTTTTGTTTTACTTTTCTTTACAATACTATACTAGTACAGACAGATACCCCAATCTATATTTGGATTATCAATTGGATGGCCCTAAATAGTTTAGTTTTGCCTGAGTAGACAACAGATGGTGCTTATCTGAAAGCTGTTTTTTGTTTGTTGTGGTCTCGAAAATGTATCAAATATAGCAAACAAAATAAATTTCAGTGGCTATACCCATTTGTAAAAGGGGCTGTAAAATTTATAAAATGATAGCTAATTTTTCAACCATCAAACCATTGTAAAATTATGAAAATGTGCTTTATGACAAGTGTCTTAAAGCAAAGTAAAAAGTTTCATTTGCAAATTTTTCCGTGATTTCCTTTAGGATTTGGAAACCTAATATTTATATTAAAAATAATCTCATCATTAGGACATTTCTAAGAAAAACCTATACATTATTAAATTAGTAACAATTGTTAGAAACACCACGTCAATGGCAGGCTCATGATTTTTATTTTGTTTCATCATAAAAATATATCGTTTGCAAAAACGTTAGTCTTTTTATTTTTTTGTAAAGAGGAAAATAAAATAGCATTTGCACTGCATTATCATTTTATAGTAAAAATATACATACAAGTAAATAATATACACACTTCACAAATCAATATATCAGGGCATAATTATAAACATTTGCAATTGAATATTACAACATTAATTTTATTATTAATTCCGATCTATAGAGGAACCATCTTTAGGTATTAATGAAGATGTTTGATATTCTACTTTCATAGCATTCATTAAAACTAAAATATATAACAATTAGGCAAGTGACATTATAGATTTTGATGAAACTTCATACATAAAAATATTCTAGTATGCCACAAAAAGTTAACCATTCATAATGAAGAAGCATTACAAGTTAAGATTTGTTTTTTAAATTATTTAAAGCAATGGTTACGCTGCAAAAATAAGTTTACACTTGAATACATGAGATAACTTAGTGCTATTTGATTATTTAGCTCAAGTGTGCTGTATACCTAGTGCAAAGTGTGCAAGGTATATTGATATAAAAAGATAATTTTAAAAAAATTGCATTTATTTATTAAAATAATAATAAGATTTTATTTTACTATTTAGATAGCATTACAAACAAAATTATAATTCCAAAAATTGACCTCACAAGCATATCAATGATCCTTGCATTATCTATGGTAACTAAAATTTACAATTACGAAAATTGTTATAGCCACAACTATACACTTCCAGTGACTAATAAATAACATATTAATTGTTTTATTAATTTAGTTTCACTAATAGAGATCCAGTAAAAGAACAAATGCAGATTTATTTTCTGTGGAAAAAATATCATACACCATTTAATTATAACAATAGCTAACTACCATGTCTTAAAAAAGATGAAAAAGACCTTGAGTTCTACGTTTAATTTATTATTTATAAAATACGGCAGCGATACCATTTAATTACAATAATTATTTATTAAATCAATTTCAATATTGTCTCTGACCCGGTGGTAGGGCCTGCACTGCGGCTAGTCTTCGACAAAGACTTCCACTGTCACCCAACACTCACTATCCAAATAAATAAATGAAAAAGGGCACTGTTATTTACGAACAATCCTCCTGGCTCTTTCTCACACACTGCGCTACTTTTCTTTTAAACTCCGAATATGATTCTCTCCACTCTTTCTGCAAAAAGAACGAGAATGAGCTCACAGCTACTATATTATTAGTTTGGTTTGGCGCCGGTGGGTGTGCAACCTAATATTAAATTATGTGTCAACTATGTCACATGGCCCTTTTTTGACATGACATTCTGCTGTAAAATTCCCTTTATCCTAAAAACAATCTTCTTGACTTTTCCTAACACATCTGGCAACTTTCTTTTTGAAATCCGAATACCTCTCTCTCCATTCTTTCTGTGAATGCAAATAACATGAGCATGAGTTTACTTATGCATTAATGAAAATGGCTAATTTTTATAGGCAACATGAGTAGATTGCATTCTTTGAAGAATATACTATATTAAAACTTTAATAGAATATTGAATAAAAATAATTTAGTAACTTAAAACACATCAGATCCACAACTATAATACTTATGATACTGGAAATGACTATGAAAATAATATTCATTCATTGTTTCTATTTTTCTGTATATTAATTACTTATGTAGTAATTATGTATATAAAGTATGTACAGAAACACTGTATATACTTCATCAATATACATATGCTTACAACATATTAACTAACGACTAAGTAATACATTTCTTTGTTCTAAATCTAAATATTATTCTTCAAAGATTACCATCAAAAAACATATGATACAAGGTATACTTTAAAAGATTGAAGAACTAAACTGTACATTAATAAGTCTACATTTTTTGAGAAAGAAATGATAATGCTACAAAGTTTTAATATATCCATACTAATATTATATGATTATTATAATAATAAATGTGAAATTTTATGAGGATGGATTGATGTGTGTTACTCTTTCATGCCAGAACAGCTGAACAAATCTGGATGAAATTTGTCACAGAGATAGATTATAATCTAGAATAGCATACATTTTTATCTTGAAAAAATGTACAGTTCCCATGGGATTCATTTGTTTTTGTCTAAGGACAGACCTGAAGCAAAACAAGGATAAGTCGCTAGTTTTAAAACTGAATATTATTATGCATGATGTTTGACGATAATGGTATTGAATGTGCACTAAGGTTCAATGGTTTAAAGAAAGAAGAAATTGGTTACCTATTAAAACTGTTGGAGTAAAAAATACAGTTAGAGATGATCAGGGAAACATTGATAAATCATTAAGAAAATAATTAATTATTTTCTTTTATTAGGTTACTTTTATAAGTATATACATAGCAAGATTTATCTACTTATTATGTTGGTGTAATTATAAAAAATATATATCAAAACTTCAAACATTTTCTTCCGGAAATTTTGGGTTTCCTCTAATATAAAAATGTTTCATTCAAATTCTAATTTAACACTTTTCATTAAACCATGGTTTTTAATATACTTCATTATTTAGTTAAAACAAATTATCTTTATTGGTGATAAATTAAAGTTCTCTCATTGAAATTCTATGCTTCACAAAACATCATCATAGCAAAATATTTATAAATCATTCTCTTATTTAACACATGCAGTTAGCACTATTATTCATTGTAAAACCATATAGTCTATACTAAACATACAGCAAAAATTTATTTTAAAAATGTGTAGAGAAATTAATCTTGTAATTCTAAAAACTAAATATTTTAACTTCTTAATTGAAAAAATAGTTCATTGTTCAAAATCAAATCATGACTGCTAGATCAACATTTATTCAAAATAAAATAATACTTTTACTAATAGATAAAAAAAATATTTTTATATATTGTGAGACTGAAATTTTATCTATACAGTTAATACAGATAAATAAAACTGAAATGTTTGTTTGTAATGTCAAAATAACAGCTTCTTACTAAATACATATAAAATTATATTTGATGATTTTAACAGCACTTTCACTGGCAGTTAGCTGATGTTATTAGGAGTAACTTAGGCTACTTTTATTTTAGAAAAAGAATTAGGGTTCTGCTCAAAAAAATTGAAACATACCTAGGGATGCACCTGAGCGAAGCAAGGGTAATTCACTAGTTTCAAATATATTTAATTTGTTGTACTTACTGCAGCATCAACATTAGCAGGACTCTCGTCATTGGGATCAGCCAACATAGAAATAACACTTATCAGAATAGTTTCAACCGTGTGTACAGGCAACCATCTTTCTGAGGCTTTCTCATAACCCCACTTATCATCACCTGGTTCATGCAATATTGATATGCACACATCACCATTCTTTTCAACTGAAACAAATTAAAATTTATCAAAATGGGCTTTCTTCAATAACTACAATGAAGATATAATGTTAGGATACTAAAGACCCTTATTACCAACCAATACAAGTAAGTTGTGGTTAAAGTTATATTGAACATATATAACATATTTTCCTTATGTATATATTACTTAAAATGTTAAACACAAACTTTTCTTGTAATTAAATGTAACTACAAATATTATACCTAAATAATTAAAATTTTATATAAAAAGTATCTAGATGAGGAAATAAATAAAATGATTATTACTCACTATTTGGATGCCAAATTTCAGTGACAAATTTCATCCTGGGTGGTCTCAGAGGGTACTCTTTTGGAAAATGTAAATGTGCCTTGAAAAATCCGCCCTCACTGAAAATCATGAATTATGCATATGTAAATTAACAATTAAACAGGATTATTGAATTAAATAGTTGGTATTTTGCAACAAGCATATTTATTATATCAATAAAATTGATTATATCAATAAAAAGCAAAGATACTGTTCTAAGATTTACATATTTTATGCAATTTTAATCAAACTGCATCATTCTAACAAGTCATCATTGCATTGTTAACAAGTTGCAAAAGCATGTAGAAGTAGGTCAAACTTCCAGTTACAGACGCAAACTTAACAGAATATATTTGCAGTTCTAAGATTCTTGACTCTAAGCTACCTATTTATTTTCAGGTTAGCATTTTAAGGTAATGTACACTTAAAAAATGAATTAATATATTGAAAGAAACTTACTATAATGTGTCTGGAGGGCCAATGATGAGGACCTCCCATCTGTATATGTCATTGTCGTCTATCAACCCAGCAGAAAAACCTTCTACTGGATTTTTGTTCAGTTCTGAAATTAAACAGTAAATTGTGAATCATCGGGACGCAAATATTTTTATCCAAAACGCATGGGATGAACGTAACGTGAATCTTTGCCAAGAGCAAAACGAAATGCCTCATTACTTTAATATTTGTCTTTGGCAACTAGCGACAGTCACTGCGGTAGATATTGATTTTATTCGCACTTATTTATAGTTTTGTCCATGAAATTTATGTAGTATGAACACAGACAAATTAATAATATTCCCATTTCATTCTTAAAACCACAAAGAACCCTTAAATTCGACCCACTAAGGTCAACGATTGCACGAAGAGTAATGTCGCCTGACGCTCTCACTGTGATGATTTTCAAAAAATATTTTAAATGTAACCTTAAATTTTACGTACCTGCTAGTTGCTTTTTTAATAAAAGCGAGGACTGTGGCTCTGACATTAATTACAATTATGAAATTTACCCTGACGACACGAAACAAATGATTTTTCCACAAAAGATGGCTGGCTGAATTTGTGCAGGTTGTGAAACATATGAGCTGTGTCTGTTTCCGGTATTTCAGTGTTACCATATACGTATACGGTATAGGCTAGAGCCGAATAAAAATTGTTAAATTAAAAATGGACACTACATGTTAGTATTGTGCTCTGTGACTACATGTATGTACGTATCTTTTGTTTTTTTATGTAACAGTACTAAATAATATTTTATTAATTGGTTGAAGCTATAAAATTACATCTAAAATAGTATGCCAGTGTATCTCAGTATTTTATTGAATGCGCTAATCTTAGTTCCTAATTCAATGCCCAAGAATTTTGCCTTTTTCTCCCGCCAGATGTAGCGATCCCTATAGTCCTCAGCATGTTGTAAAGCTTTACATCCTGGATAGATTTTTTCATTTTATTTAAGATTTAATTAAATTAACAAAATTTGCTGAGCCAAGATGCGAATAAAATAGATATCATTTGTTCCCAGAAGACAAAAACTGAAGAAATTGTGGGCTAAAGCAATAAGACGACCAAAATTGGCGACATCACAATCATGGATCATACATAGATTCTACGGCAAAAAAATACAAAAGTACTGATATATTTTATGTAAATTCCATTTTTTATTATTTTTTCACGACTCATCAAATTGCAAAGTTAGAATGTTTACGACGATATTGTTTATATAATAAGCTTCAAATTAAAAACTTAAGGCTGCCATTTTTTTTTGTTATTTTCCTGAAAAATATATTAGTGTAATCAGTTTATAAGAATTTGGTCAATAAAGTACACTACTTCAGTGATAATTTAAAAAAACATAGTTTACAAAGTAAAAATTATCTATTCCATAAATTCCTGCTAACATTATAAAACTTCAGGTTTTCAATAAAAAAAAATCTCTTAAAAATAGACGGATTTATTGGTCTATGCGCAATTTGTCATTTTAATTAAATTTAAAATAAAATAAACAAAACCGTGCACGATATAAAGCTTTACAATATACTGGAGGCCATTATAGGGATCGCGACATCTGGCGGGAGAAAAGGGCAAAATTCTTCACCCATGTGATTGGAGTTACGCGGAGTCTATACCTATAGTGTAAATAATACAAAAACCTCATTTTATTTACTATAAAAAATTATAACATTATTTTTTTTAATCCCTTGTTTCTTACTTACATCGTCTCAATAATGAAAACCCTCAACAGGCAAAACAATGGCTTAAAAAGAACAAAATTATTGGAGGATTTGTAAAAAATCATTTATTTTCTTTTATTAAATAGTAAACTTATGAATAACACATTCTTTTAAAGAAACTCTTAGTCACTATCTGAAGAATCTTTACTTTTCTTTGCTTCTGGCTCTGTTTGATCACCATTCACTTGTTCTAATTTTCTCTTATTTTTTTTATTCTTCTTTGATTTTACTCCTTTTTGTTTAACAGTCGCTTCAACTTTACTTTTACTTTTGACTGTTCCTTTAAATGATGATAAATCATCATAAAGTGATTTAAAATCTAGATTTGTTGATATTTTACAATTATCATGGAACATTTTTATGATATTTATCAATTTTCTCAAAGTCGCTAGGAAATTAGCTGTGACTTCTTTGTCGCTCTTAGATTTGAATTCTGAAAATGTGTCAAAAAAAATTTCCTCTAGCTTGTTAACATTTGAACTTACTTCCTCTGGTGATGGTTTACTTCTATTTAATGCCTGATAAAATCCTATAATAAGATTCAGACCTTCATTACGGCGAAACTGTCGAACATTATTGTTGAACACATTTTTAATTACCAACAGCAAGAGTTCATATTTTCCATCCCATTCAGTTTGCAATATGTTGTGGAAAAATATAATTGGAAGCAAACAGCTACGGTTATTAAAATAATTTTCAACTGCATCTTTAAATATTTCGATGATAACCGATGCACGCTTTTGCTTTTTCGGCGATTTAGATTTCATTTCGAGTTTTTGTGAGCAGTGTATTATGAAAATAGATGAATAGGTAATAATGTCCCCAAGGGCTTGATACATAAAATGAGACCTATCACCCTTATCAATAATTGATTTTAAAAAGTCTCCCAAAATTTCAAATGTGATATCACCAGTGGAATTAAACTTTTTTATTTTTGTCAAAAATTTTATTGTCTTTCTTACTCTGTTTTCCAATTCCTGGAGTTGATTGTCTTGCATACAAAATTCAAGACATCTTGTGAGTGGGGCTATCATACTCAAGCAAATGTCCATAGCAGGATCTTTCTCTAAATATATATCTATAAGATCCAGAACTCTTATTCTGAAATCAGATAATGCTTTTTTGTTTTTTCTGTCCTGTTTGGACTTTTTCTTTTTGTCTTGCTGAAATTGCTTAAAAGCATCAGCTAAGGCCTCATCTAATTTTTTACCTTCTTCTTCTGTAATCATATCTGCATCTATACTTTCAGCATCGTCATCTGGCATAGCTGCACTACCTAAAGCTCTTTGAACAGCCAAACGTAATTGATCAGGTATTTTCATGTCATCTACTTCATCTTCTTCAACCTCACTGTCACTTTCGTCTTCTTCATTCGATTCTTCTTTTTCTTCACTGTTGTCATCAGATTCATTTATGTTGTCATCGTTACCTTCATCTTCAGATTCACTCTCTGCTCTTAATGGGTTAGCTTCACTCTCTGGATCCAAGACTGATATAATTTGACCAATTGCTGTGGGTGTTAAGTATTCCCAAAGAAGCCTGAACACACATTGCACAACCCCTCGAAGCACACTGGATTCTATTGATAATATGGACAACAGTACTTCAACTAAAACTTCAATCCACTCTGGTTCATCTGCTAAACTTTCCCCATTCTTTTTTGTTTTTTTCTTCTTACCTTTATTGTAATGTTCGTAGCAACTTTTTAATTCAATTATAGAACTCCTGGCAATATTAACATGTGACGGTTCCGAGAATAAGAATAAACCGAGTTGGTAAAGTAAAATAAGGAAAACTTTGTCCACTTTTGACTTTGTGTCATTTTGTTCCAAACTTTCACACACGTCATTTAGCATATTCCAGCAATCCATGTTTTCTTTAGGAAATTGTTTTTGTAGTTTTTCTTTTACTTGACTCTTGCTCATCATATTAGATATGAATGTGGAAAGAGATGTTAGGACAGCAACAAAACTGTCTACATTTGAAAATTTACATGAGAAGCATCTGTAGAAACATGTTTTGATGGAATCTGTTGAAAAAGAAAATTAAATGATTCTGATAATTTATTAAATATATATTCTTATAAAAAGGAATAAAAAGAATAATATCTACATTTATAATAATAATAACTTATATTTATAATATTAATTAATAATGTAAATTCGTTTTATAATTGAATATGGAATATTATTTATTTAATTTTAGCTGTTATTATTATAATTATTACAATTTTATAAATATTAATTAGTAATCTATATTTAGTGTTGCCATTATTATATTTATAACCATAAAGAAAAAATAATAAAATAATAATTATATTTTTTTTTAATGCTAATCATATAATTTAATGCAGATAACAGAATAAATATGTACTAATTATTACCTGCTAAATCACTGCTAACTGCCATACTTTCATCTCCACCAATTTTAAAGAACCCAAAGCACATCAGTAATTGCATATAAGTTATTTTAAACTCAGTATCACCTCTAACTGCCTCGTGACTAACAATAAAGGAAATAAGTTCAGCTGCTTTAACTCTTTCATTGTTATACCAATTTCTTTCAACATTCTCTTTTACAACCTTCTTTGATGTATTGAGTAACACTTTTTTTAAGGATTTGGCCATTTTTTTTAAGCCTATGTCATCTAAATCAGCGATAATAGTTTTAACTATTGTAGATCCTGTGATTTCAGTGAAATTTATTTCACCAGGATTAAATAATAGTTTTTTTAACGTTGCAACCCTTATATCAACATTCACATCAGGAAATTTCAATGCTCTACTGAATGTTACGAGGGTTTCCTTCTGTTTTTTTATCATAATTTTATGGTCATCTTCATCATCTCTTTTATTTCTGATTTTACTCGCTGTCTGTAAACCTTTAAACCAATCCATGAATAATTTAAAGAAATTATCACTGAGTAACTCTGGTAACACTTCAACATTGTCATGAATGTTTTGTAAAATAGTGTTGAGAAGATTCAATGCAACCAATTCTCTGTTTCTATTATGCTTTACGAGGTGACTGTCAATTTTACTCCAAAATAGCTTCAATTGTGCTGATTTCGCAACTTGTGTTCCAATTTCTTTATATATAGGATGGCTTATCAAGCTGAAGTCTACTCCAGTCTAGAAAAAGATATTATAAAAAATTTATTGAAATTTCAGTACATAGTAAAAACAGATATAAATGATAATAATTGCAGAAGTTTAGTTGCACAATTATTAACACCCTCCACCAGCAAAATTACAGAAAGAATATATACATATATTCAAAAACGAATCAAAAATAACATGTATAAAAACAAAATATAATTTAAATTTAACTATCTTTTCGGATTATTTCAAGGATTTTTGTAATATAGTGGGTAGGCACTGTCTGTAACAAGTGTATATCGCCTTTGAGACGTCTATAACCTTAGTCTCTCCCATGACCATTATTGCTGTAAAGCATTTGAAACATCGGGAACCAAAAATAAAATTAAATCCGTGAAATAATCCAAAAAGATAGTTTTATTTAAAATTTCAAATATTCGCGTAATTCTAAGAAAGTATTAAAAAAATATAAACAAACTTTTTAGCCAAATTAAATAAGTTTACAAATAATTAAATTATTTTAAGTAAAGCAAAAAAGAAATAATTGATAGGTAGTGAATGGTTCAGTGTGGTTTGTGTAAGAGTGTGAATGTTATGTGTGAATGTATATGTGCGTTTGTGTATGTGAGTGCGTGTTATTTTATTAAATTCTATGTCTGATCATAACTTGAGGTAAGAAGCCAATTTGTAAGTTTTATTTTACATTTTTTTAGTATAAGTGGGTATATATTAATAGATTTATTTATTTTATTATAAAGAAGTGGCATTTAGAAGAAATGGTAATGTCCAGCCATCACTGTTCACTTAGGTCTCAAGGAGCAGACTCTATTGGATCTAGGCTAATTGTTTAAATTTTCTTTGTTGAAGGGTAACTGGGAGAGAAAACATAGTATACTACTAAGTATAAATAATTTGCAAACTGAGAGTACCTTACAAATAGAAAATACTTCTGCGGTGGGAAAATATATTGACAAGGACAAAAAGGAAATAAAATAGAATTTTAGATTTAAATAAATAACATGAATACAACAATATTCACCATCAATTTCTCACAGATATCAGGAATATTATCTTCATATAAAATATCTGGTACACCAATTAACTTTCTTAATTTAATTTTATCAGGGAACTTTTTGCTGAGTACTAGAAGAATATATAGAGAATCCAAATTGTGTTCTTTAATATCTTTCTTATAATCTTGTTTAATGTTTGACCATACTATGGAAACAAAATCATCCTCATTAAGCTGTAATAAAAATAACATACAATTAAAATTATATTGAACAACTATACAATTTTCAAACATTTTGATGTATACTATACCTCATTGATAAATTCCAATAATACAACAGATGCTACAGTGCTTAGGTATGATTTTTTTGCACTTGCTGTTTGAAGAAGTTGTAATATTTGTTTTTGCTCTTCATCAGTACTTTTTACCATAAGACCTGATCGGAATAAAACTCCACATAACAAAATTTGACCAAGAGCAACATCACCAACTTCCTGTAGAAAATAATTCTTATGGTACACTGATAATAAATTATACTGAGAATATGAAGCAGATAGGGCAGGAATAATTATAAACTTACACTTTTTGATGATGCATTTGCATGTAATTCTTTTTTTACTAATTCCAGTAATTGGACTACACTAATTTCTTCAAATTTAGGTATTAATCTCACAAGAGTAGCAAAATACCCTAATCGCATTTCCAAGACATTGGCACCCAAGCTTCTAATCAAGCGTTTCAAAGCGTACTGTAAATCTTTCTCGTTCTGAAAAAGATATTCAATAATTATGTAAGAAAGTTACATAGAATATTATTAAACTTAGGTTTATTTAATATACAAAAATATATTTTATCAAATAAGCTAACCTTGTTTTCCAGAAGTCGCGCAATTATCTTCGTACCACCTGTAATTTTTAAATCATCCTTCGGGGATTTGAGTAAATCAAATGCATCTAATAAAGAGGATGTGACCTCTCTTTGAGGCGTCTCAGTGTTACTTTCGCCTTTCATATTTAATTTTATCGTTACTTAAAGCTGATATAATTTAAAAAGTTGACATAATTTAAAAAGCCCACATGGGAATTGGGATACATCTACTGTCAAATTGACAACTTCAGTCATCAGTGTCAACGTCACAAGACAAACTCAATAATTTCAATAGCCGCATAGCGTCACTAAAAGACGCGTTCATTATTATTATCATACAAATAAAGTTAACAAAAGAAGAAGAATGGAGAAAATCATACATTTATATTCTTAAAACTTTTAATTCATTGTAATAATAACAGACTAAAAACAAATTCAGTAAGGCATCCTTATGTATATTAATACAATCTTACATAATACAATTTTATTTTATTAAATTATATATCGAATATAATATTGCAATGAATAATTTATAAATAAAGTAATACAAAAAACATGATGATAATTTTTTTCATGTTTTATTATTTAAATATTTTATACAAAACACATAAAATTATAAATACTTGTCTGCACTATTACGGAGACCGCTTCTAGAAATTGATGCGCGCGCATTTAGTATTCCATGTTTCTAAACATGGCAGGTCGCAGTGGGTTTGACGATGGTAATCTGAGGTATTTATTGATAAAATATGATATTACTTATTAAATTTCATTTTAAGGTGTTCAATTATTATTCATCACATTTACCAATAATTTCCACTTCATACTTCCGCGTCATTTTCTAATTTTTTTATTTTCTGACAGTGCGATAACATTCAATGAAAGTGGTATTTTAACAAAGCGTGCGATTCTAAATTAATTTGTTAAACGTCCTTTGGGTATGTTCGATGTAAATTACAAAATCACCGATGTGAAAAGTGAGTGAAATGTGCATTTATAGGTTATAATAAACCATGGTTATCATGACTGTGTGCAGGGACTATGGAGGCGGCAGGAGAACGACGGGAGGCCGTCCGCTTCCGTCAGAGCCTCCGTACAAAGCTTACGTCGGAAACTTACCCTCTGGTATCATCCAAGGCGATATTAACAGAATCTTTCCAGTAAGTATTTACTTTTATGCTTAATTTAATATCTCCATATGATTGCTGTGATATTTGCTAGTAACGCAAAATTTGTGTCGATTATCTCATATAAATGATTATAAATTCTTGGTAACTATTTTATGCCAAATTAAACAGGATCCAAATTTTTTTAGAGTTGTTATCTTTCTTGTTTGTTTGCTTAAAAATTTGGGGCCTTGATAGGCGATTATGTCACTCTAGGTCATTATTAATTTAATTAGTAGTTTTTTAGTATGCTAATTTTACTAATACAATACAACATATTTGTAATACATTTGTAGGAAAATGTTCATATACTTTTTCTTAAAATTAGTTATTGTTGACTTTCAGTAGTTTATTGTTGTCGTTTATAACAAGAGAGAAGTTGAAGGTTCCTATTCTCGTATCCTTTTAAGCAGCTGTACCAAACTTTCGTACTCTCTGACATTCTCCCTTCTAAAATCTCCCATCCAATTAAGTCTTTTTGTTTTGTTTTGCACTTAGCTCATTATCTAAATTTCTGTGCACAAATATTAAAAAGTAATAAAATTAAATTATAGTTATAACTTATATGTAAACTGTGTGATTATTTAACAGAGCCAATGGATTTCCTTTTTTTTACTGGTCATTATTGTCATGGCCATATATTATCTTCTGACTTCTCCATTGTACATGACATTGGTGAAGTAAATTGTGCCCAAAAGATAATTGTCGGAACCACATAACAAGAGAATTAAATTGATATGTGGAGTCTAGGGGTTTTCTAGTACTTCATTGGTCTAAATTATGAAATATTTTAAAGTTATATGTCTACATACATAACAAAGCTAAGTTAACATTTGTACTATGATGACTAAATGAAATATATTGTTAAAATAAATTTTAAGCAAATTAAACTTCATATCAAGGGTTACATTTAATAAATAAATAATAAATAAATAGTTACTAGCAGGCAGGCCAAACTTATATATTAATTAATCTTTACATATTCAAACAAGAAAAATTACTTTCACAATATTATTATTCAGTTACATTCAATGAAGATTTGCATACTCTTACAGTTTATAAATTAATAAAAAAATGATTATAGAATTTAACTTTGTTTTATGTACTAGTGACACCCTTGCTTCACTAGGGTGCATCCCTGGCCGTGTTTTAATTTTTTTGAGCAGAATCTTAATTCTTTTTCTAAAATAACAGTAGCGGAAGTTGCTCCTTATGACATCAGCTATTTGCCAGTGAAAGTTCCGTCAAAATCAGTCCAGTCGTTTCGGGGATTTGCCAGAATAAACAGACACTGAGAAAATTTTAAAAATTATGTTTTACTTATAAGTAGTAGTGTATATAATTTTATACACATTTAGTAAAAAGCTGTTATTTTGACATCACAAACAGACACTTCAATTTTATTTATCTGTAAAAATAATATTGTAATTTATGTATTAAATAAAAAAATATTGATTTCTTGCTTTTCAGAATTTGTCTATCAAAAATGTTAGGCTGGTTATGGATAAGGAAACAGACAAATTCAAAGGATTTTGCTATGTAGAGTTTGAATACCTAGATGACCTCATCAAGGCAATAGAACTCAATGGAGCTCTTAATGTAGATGGTAACATTATCAAAATTGATGTTGCTGAAGAAAAACGAAATGACAGGTAATTTATGAATGACACATTTTTTTCTTCTTTTGTTCTAATTATAATTTTATAAAATATGTCCTCTATTTGAAAAATGCAAACATAGTAGCTTTTCAAAATAAAAACTATTAATCATCACATTTAACTAAAAAAAGAAACTTGTCAGAGTAATTGTTTTGTAAATTATTGATCATTCTTCTTCTTCCTGCCCATTTCCCAATGACTTGGGGTCGGCGCAGTACATCTTCTGTACTGCTGATAGGATTTGGCAAAAGTTTTACGACCGGCCACCTGCCTGACGTCAACCCTCCTTGGGAATGCTATTGTTTATCGTAGAAATCTTGTAATATGATGCACTTTCGATTATTGATCATTGATTGCATTAAATATAAATATTACAATATGACTTAACAGAGAGCCAATTAAATTATCATTGATCATCACATTCATTACAAAATGTTAAAAAAAATAATTGTTAAATCTCTTTGATCTCAGATCTGTTAAGATCCATTGTAATTATTGCATTAAATATAAAAAAAAAACTTGACAGAGGGGGTGGCTTCGACCGCGGCCGGCGGGACGGCGGACGCGAAGGGCGCGAGGGCCGTGGCGGGTTCAGGCGGGAAGGGCGCGGTACGTACGACCACTTCGACGCGCAAGAGCGCCGCGCTCCCCGGCACCAGGGTGGCGGGTTCACACATGGTAACATTGCTAACACGTGGAGACTTGTTTTTGTTTTATTTTAGTTAGTTTATGTTGACAGATGTAGCTAAATACTTTAATATTTTGTCAAAAATTTTGTTTGTTATGGATAACTAGTAACTAGTATGAGAATAGTTAAGTATTTTTATTTTTTATTTTACAGAGTATATTCTTATTCCGTAAATTGAATCTGGCAATATTAGTTTGGCATATATTTATTTATGGCGTTTTGAAAATTTTGGAATTTAGATAGATTATATATTTCTTTTGCATTATACATATAAAGCTGCGATCAAAGTTTACTTGGATACATGTTGTCACGCTCAATGTCTGCTTTGACGAAAAGCTTTTAACGAATTTTACTATGATAAACACGGCTCCAAGCCCACTTTGATTGAACGCCGACGTCATAGTGTGCTTTAATTGCTCGTTTACACGATGAAAGTAGTTATCAAAACTACTTTGTCAAAGGAGACTTTGAGAACAGTAGAACACGGTTCAAGTCTACTTTAATTACCATCCACGTCAAAGTGCGCTTTGATTGTTCGTTTACATGATCAAAGTTACGTCAAAGTAGTCATCAAAACTACTTTGTCAAAGTAGGCTTTGATCGTGTCAACGCAGCTTTAATGTAATTTGTACTAGTAGTCAAAGTGCCTTTAAATTGCATGAACTTTATTGCAGTTTCGTTTTGAATGTATAGGGTTTTGTTGTATATTTAATGGTGCTACTTTAATGAAAATTATACCTATTTTAATACAAGTCAAGAGTAAGCACTAAGTAGTTGTATGTAAGAGTACTTAATTTTTATATAACATATTCTTATTGCATTATCCACCCACACAAGTTTCTACAGACTAGTTTCATAACACTACTACGTGAAATTTAAGTGAAATTTATTTTTAAACTGAATTTTCAGTATAAATTCAATTTAATTTTTATATCAATTTATAATGGTCAAAAACAAGTCTCTATTCATCCCGCACTAAAGCACATTAATATTTCTAACCTTAATCATATGCTAATACTGTCCAATTTTTTATATTTTATGATAATAAAATATATGACCACTATCATCACCCACGTTTCGCTTCGATTCCGTCCCTATACAAAAACAAATCTATTTCACGGGAATCGTACATTTTTCCGGATAAAAAGTAACCTATGTGCTATTCCAGACTATAATCTATCTCTGTGCCAAATTTCATCTAGATCTGTTCAGCCGTTATGGCGTGATTGAATAACCAATATATGTATATCCAAACTTTCACATTTATAATATAAATATATATAGTAAATAATAATAATAATAATGGTATAGTATGAAGTATTTTTACAAACAGTTTTTTTTTTACACACAGATTTGATTTGATTTATACGGGATGAAATCTTTAGCTATTTTTGTTCAGTTATGCCAAAGAAGTATAACTTCTTAGTTCTTACGTGTGTACATATAGTACACATACGCATTTTTCTATATTTATTTTATTGCTAATAACTTAATAATAATTAATAAACTTTTAACTATAAAATTCATATTGCATTTTAATACATTCATAAAAAAATTATGTCATTCTACATTCCCTGCTTTTCATTATCACCTGCTGTTGTATTAATCTTTAAGTTAGCAAATAAACTTTGATTATAATTAGGTCTGAATTTTTTTTATATTATCATAATTAAGCTTAGTGGTCTATAACTTATATTGTGTATAAGAATTATCGAATTATATATTTCAATTGCATTCATCTATGTTAATGTACCAACATATAATTTTAATCCTGTGTGTAAAGAAGTTATAAGTACATATATGCTAACAATCCCCGAGACACCCCAGAGCGCGAGCGGGCCGGCGTCAGCGGGGAGCGCTGGGCGGAGCGGGGCGGCGAGCGCGGCGGGGAGAGGTGGGCGGAGCGCGGGGAGAGGGCGCGCGGGCCCTCGGAGGAGTCCCGCGGGGGAGGCGGAGGCGAGTGGAGCCGCATGGGCCGCGGGGGCGCAGCGCCGCCCGGCCCGCCTCGCCAGGCGCCGAGGAGGAACTTTGATGATATGCCACCTTCGCGACCAGGTATGGATTTAATAGAGGCGACAATGTTGTTTATTGTGTAATGTTTTTCAGTGGTCTCTTTAATATTGTATTTTTGAGGATTTGAGTTATAATAAGAAATGTGAAATCGAAATGACAATTTAGTATGACAAGTCTATGTGTAAAAGTTGTCACGCCAAAACTATTTTTTTTAGTTTTGATATCGTTACATTTCGTATTTTGAAGTTAATAATAATTATAATGATAAAGAAATATTGTAGTATAACTAATGAGAATATATTTCTAAAATGTATTAATTTTGTTAATTAGATAGTTCATAGTACTAATACATTAAAATATACTGGTTATATAACATACATATTAAACGCAGTAGACAACATTCCAGACACGTCGGGGCGTCCGCGCCTAGTGCTGGAGCCGCGCACGGTGAAGGAGCCGGTAAACTCGCTGGCCGCCACCAGCCAGGCCTCGTCGATATTCGGCGGAGCTCGGCCCCGGGAGGAGCGGCTCAAGGAGCTCGCAGGAGAGTAGGCCGTCTACCCCCCACCTCCCCTCCTGTGTGTATATGTATCGTCCAGACGCCCTACAACTATATCGTCGAATAATAATGATAACTAATCAATACACCAAATTTAATTTATCTCTTTATTTGTTCTTGTATCAAAATTTGTTATAAATATATGTATATTATATGTTTTTAATGTTTTCCTTTGTTTTCATATTATAGCAACACTTGTCAGTTGGTCAAGCTATCAATGTTAAACGACGATGCTCTATGTCACTCTTTCCCTGCAGTTTAAAATAAAATCTTGTAAAAATGTACCGGATGGATTTTTTATTAGGTTGTGAGGTTGTAAATCATTTTAATCATATATTTTTGTTAGCTTTATTGTGTATCGCTTGGATCGCGCGCTCATATTTGAGCGTTGGTCGCTGCGTGCTGTTTTTAAATTGCTAGTTTTCGTTCTCACGTTAATCCGGGCCTGTGTGTATGATTACTTAGCTCACGTTTTTGGACTCTTTTTAACTTCATAATGTTGTAAGCATTTGTAATGTAAAATTAAGTTTTTTTTTATTTTTTATGTTGGCAAAGTTTGATATTTATAATACATATACTGCATTGTAAAGTCAATTGTCGTTTTGTTTTGATTTATTAGGTCTTTGAAATTAATAATTACACTCGTAATGAGGCATTTTAGAGTTGATAATACAATTTAATTAAGATGTCATCTATAAATTAAACTTCCACATAAACGGATTTCTACTTTATTAGATATATGTAATGCCGTAAAATATATGGCAGAGAAAAAAAAATCGCAAAATTGTAACTGAACATAGAAAATGTAATAAAAAGTGAATTCTTTGTAACCGAGGATTTGACTGATCCTTCCTCTCCCTACAACAAACCACTCCTAATATCCCATTTGACAGATGATAAGGAAATCGATAAGATTAAAAAAAACAGTTATTTTAATTACATTTAATAAAAAAGTAATGTTTAAAATTGGTACTAAAATTATGATTCATGTTTTTAAATGACTGTTACATTTATACATTTTTAAGTAATTCTGGAAACTAAGTATGTTAAACTAATGTTCTTTTGCTGTTTTTACTACATAATTACGTTTTAATATATGCCAATATTATAAAGCCGAAGAGTCTGTGCATCTACCTCTGGAACTACCTGTCAGATTATTTTTATAGCTTACTAGCGAACAAACAAATGTGCGCACATACAAATTGTTGTTTTATATTAGTAGCACAGATGACAATACTATATTAGTACAGATGCCTCATCCCATACAAAGAAATTGGACAGAGCTAATTCAGGATATTTTTGTTTGCTTGAATAGACAATAGATGTCGCTGATTCGCAAATTGTTTTATGTTATAAATATGTGCAAACTAACATAATGGTAAATATTGTAAAATTCATCCTACAATCAAATAAAAAAGTGCTTTAAAAAATTGGGGATTTCACGTGAAGCGAACAACGAAAAAAAATTTAAGTTCTGTACTTCTAGGACATGAACATGAGATATTTTTCCAATTTAAGATTTAGTTGTCTATTCTAGGGATTCTAAAGAATTGATCTGATTGACGGAAGGGATTTTTTTTGAAAATTGTTTTTCACACTGATGTAATCTATACATACCTATAATAAAATAATTGTACCTAAGCTGAATCTCTACATTAAATACTTTTTGGAAAATCTTATTGAAATAATTATTATTACCGAGACAGAGGCTGAATCTATGTTTTTAGAATTCTTGTCTGTCACCGCATCACGCAAAAAACACCAGATGGATTTTGATGACATTTGGATGATGATAGTTGGTTATCTGGGTCAACATAAATAAAGGATATTTTATACTGTGGGAAAATATTGATGAGAAAACTACTTTCTGCACAAAAAAATTAAAACGTACCTAGGGACGCAGTTTAGCGAAGCGGGGATAAGTCGCTAGTTAAATAAATAAAGTTAGGAAATAATAAAAAAAGTTTAGAAGTCCAAAAAAATTTATTCATATATCTAAATCATCATCTGGATCTTCATCATCCCAGTCATCTACAGCATCTGGCTCATAGTAAACTTTACCTTGACCTTCATTGATTTTACTCATATAGGGTAGCTTCAGCTTATGTTTCTCGAGTTGTTGTGTTTGATCGGTTTCTATCTTAAATGTGGTGAGATTCCCTGGTGAAATTCTTTCTGTTTCTTCAACTTTCTTATCAGCTTTTATGACAGGAGACAACTTCAATGTACTTGTTTTACTATCATACGATACAATTTCCTCACTCTTAAAAAATTTACCATTTTTCTTAACTTGGATCCAAACCTTGTCAACATTTGTATTGTCATATGTTATAATAGCATTCACAATATGATTTAAGTGTGCCTGTAGTTTTGAACCAGGTAAAAGACAGTCTCGATGTAATATTAATATAGTTTTTGTTACATTTGAACTTGTCTGAAGATTTCTTAGATACTTCAAACACATATTCCAACCTAATTCTAAGGCCATTTGATTTACTGAATCTATAACACATATAAAATTCTCATTCGATTTCATACATTTATCTGGTTGAAATTCTTTAAAACATTGCACTAATTTTCCTTTAAAAATATTTTGCCAAATATGAAGAGGTTGTTCATAACTAAATATTTTCATGCAGTTATTGGTATTTCCAACCAACTCTAAAAGCAATGGGAGTATATTTTTATTATAATCATCTTCTATTAATATAGTTGATACAGATTTTAATTTAAATAGAGCCATGTTTTAATGTACGATTATTACGAATTATGTTAATTAATAATTATGACGTTTGACTGTTGACCATGGATGACTAATAAAACTGTTGACAATGACATCAATAGTCAACTCATGGATGACAATTGACAAATGACAATTATAGTGTAGCTCCTTATTCTGTGCAATTAGGCTGGCCACATATGTACGGTTTGCTGATTCGATTTCCTGAACAGGATTCCTGATTCGGAATTCCATAAGACAACCCCAGACGTTCGATTTTGTATTAGGAATTGTACACTGCCAGTACGTAAAGTGGCGTAGGCTTGTTGAAAAATATCGATACATTGATGAATGATCGACAAAATATTCAATATCGAAAATTGTATCAAAAACGAAATTTTTTTAAACTTAATTTATTAGCGAAATATTTAACAGAATTCAAAGCCATAAAAGATAGGAACGAACGGAAAAAAACTATATTGTCCATGACTACTATGTTTTGTTTGATCTAATGAAACACAGTAAAATTATTTCTATTATGACAATACAACGTATCAAAAAGCTTCTATCGCCAAATTCAAAAAAAGTGTTAAAGAATGTTTGTGTGCTAATTATACGATTAATGATTTTATAGAAGATGGCACGCCTTGGGAATAAAGTGATCGCCTCCAGGCTACTTCAACTTGACAGAAATATTGTAAATTATAATTTAACTTTATAAAAAAGATAACGTTAGTCCCGCTGACTTTCTTTCGCCAGTTCTTCTCAAGTCTGAAGCTTTTTTTTCCAAACTGGTAGTAGACTCATGAGATTCAGTAAAAAATTGTAATAATTTAATGCCGAATAACATAATTTGGATTTGTCGCGTATATGTGTGTGTGTATATGCGGCGGCCATCATGCATCACTCACTTTTAAATGCCGTAAAACTCAGTTTATTGAAAGGGGGTACAATATTTTCGTTTTTTTTAAGATTTTCATGCAATAAAATAATGTGCTTTTTATTTAAAAAATAGTATTATCATTTACTGAGCCAGACTGAACTAAATACATTATTATTTTAAAACCAAAAATCTCTTAAAAATTTACCGATATAACAATATTTTTATATTCGATATTGATATTTTAATAAATATCGATATTTTTTCACTGTCGACATCTCTATTCTATTACCATTCAGGAAACGGAATCAGGAAACCGTACGTGACGCCGGCCTTATAATAATAGTTCTATAAGGTTTTGACTTTTGACATAATAAGTTGAGTTACTGACACTGATTTTTAGTTCTTTTCATAGATAAATTTTACTTATATGTATTTTTATTTATACTGTAGTGAATGAAAGATAACTCAAAGTTTTACACCGCTGCCAAACAGATCTGGGTAGAATGGGGCGATGCAGACTTCAAAGAGAAGACGCCTGAGGAGCTGTGGGAACGAACCCGAAAGCTAATCACGCAGTCTGTTGCGGCTTCTGAACCTCCAAGTTTAACATACAAGCGACAACACTGGATGACTAATGATACGCTAGCTCTAGTCGAACAGAGACGCGCATTGAAAGCATCAGGGGCGGGAGGTAGTGACGTAAATAAAATCTCAGCACAAATTCAAGCAGGATGCAGGCGGGACTATAATGCCTATCTATGTAGAATATGTGAAGAAGTCGATGCTCACGCTAATAGACATGAGTCCAGGGATCTTCATCAAAAAATTAGGTCCATCACCAAATCACTTACATCCAAGACCTGGGCCATTGAAAACAGCGATGGTATATTAGTTACTGAGCTAGAGCAAATTACTGAGGTTTGGAAAAGTTATTGCCAGTCTCTGTTCCAGGACAGTCAGTCGAAAAATTTTTCCAGTACAGAACCTGAGTTTAAGAACCTAGAGCCAGACATACTCAAATCAGAAGTCAGAGCTGCCATCATGCATCTTAAAAATGGAAAGGCTACTGGTAGAGATGCAATCCCGATTGAGACACTTAGAGCCTTAGATGATATAGGTGTCAATATCTTTCACACGATCTGTAACAAAATATGGCATTCGGGAACATGGCCAACAGAGTGGACTCATACGGTTTTTATTCCTTTACATAAAAAGGGTTCAACCAAGAAATGTAGCAACTACCGCCTTATTGCACTTATATGTCACGCTAGCAAAGTATTGTTACATATTCTTAATGAGCGACTGAAGACCTTTCTGTCCAAAGAGATAGCACCTGAACAAGCGGGTTTTGTTAGGGGAAAGGGTACACGTGAGCAGATCCTTATTGTTCGTCAGATCATAGAGAAGGTAAGGGAATTTAACAAGCCGACTTATATTTGCTTTGTTGACTTCTCAAAAGCTTTTGACTCTGTGAAATGGCCCAAGCTGTGGAGTGTTCTGCTGGACATGGGTACACCCCAACACTTAGTTCATCTTCTCAGGCGACTTTACGAAGATGGAACAGCATCTGTGCGGACTGATGACACCTTGTCTAAAAACTTCCATCCCAGCGCAGGTGTTCGCCAAGGATGCATAATATCACCGCTTTTGTTCAATGCTTACACCGAACTCATAATGCGCATTACCCTTGAAGACTGGACAGACGGCGTAGTTATTGGTGGCTACAAGATATCCAACTTGCGCTACGCTGACGATACGACCTTGTTCGCGACTAGTGCTCGAAATTTAGAAGAGCTATTTCTCAAAATGGAACGTGTGAGCCTAGAATTTGGATTAAAGATTAACCGCAGTAAAACTAAGATGATGATTGTAGACCGAGCTAATAATAATTTGCCCGAAGTCACTCAAATCGCAAACTGTGAGGTTGTCCAATCCTACATCTATCTTGGAGCTTTAATCTCAAACGATGGAGGCTGCATAGAAGAAGTAAAACGACGTATGGCAACAACTAGAACTGCGATGGACAGGCTGAAGAAGATATGGAAGAACCGAAACGTAACGAAGACCACTAAGATCCGGCTCGTTCGAACACTCGTTTTTCCCATATTTTTATACGCTGCAGAGACGTGGACCTTGCGACAAGTCGATAAGAAAAAAGTTGATGCTCTGGAGATGTGGTGCTGGAGGCGAATGCTTAGAATATCATGGACCGAATTTCGCACCAATGTCTCCATACTCCAAGAACTCGGCATTAAACAACGCCTTTCGGCGGTAGTAGAGGGTCGCATCCTAAAGTTCTTTGGACACGTCTCCCGGCGTAAAAGCGACTCCATTGAGCGCCTTGTCGTACAGGGCAAGGTGGAAGGCACCAGAGGACGAGGACGATCATGCATGCGATGGACCGACCAAATCAAGTTAGCTGTGGGTGGTCCCCTGCATGAGTGCACCAGGATGTCGGCCAACAGGGAGAAGTGGCGATCAATCGTGAGGAGCATCACATCTGCTCCTACAGAGACTACTACGTGATGACCACGACCGCTCTGTCAAGAGTGTCACGAAGAAGAAGAAGAAGAAGTGAATGTAGTTTTACATAAAACAATTAATGATAATTAGGTACATACCATATAAATAAATGTACATAACTTTATAATTAGGACAAAATTGTTATGCGGAAGACTAAATTTATTCTTAATGGAAGGTAGAAGCAAGGAGGACCATCTCAGTGTATTAAAAAGTGTCCGTTGAAAGGGAGCAAATTAAGGTGGCGCTATAGTAGCAAGTGGAAGAATTTTAAAAAGAGCGCCACAAATTATTAGAGTAGGACACTAAATTAAAAAAGGAAAGAAAAGTTTCCGCTTTGATACAGGGCATTTTTTTTAATTATTATAATATATACAGACAAACATGAATATGGAATAAAATTATACAGTATTTTTATATATGCGTAGAATCTCTATAAAGTTTGTGGTTGGTTCAATAATTTAAAGCTGTCTTATTGGGAACTGATTATAGTTACTTCTTTTTCTAACATAATTACTTTCTTTTATTCTAGAAACATGTATTAATTACTTTAAAAAAAATATTTTCGAATTTCAGGTAATCTGCTCATGGTTGGTGCTGGTATCTATAATCTGTATTCTGAATTTCTGTTACTGTCATGGATGACACCTACCCTACCCCAGCCTGCAAATTTATGATATTTGCAATGAAAAAAATACTAATCGATAGATTTTCAATAGCTCAATTTAACTACGTAGCCCTTTCAAATTGCTCACCTTTAATTATTTAATTAAAAATCAATAAAGTCTTTGAAAAAAAATTAATTTATCTGTATATTCAAACTCCTATATCTTTTGATGTATACAATATTTCAACTTCAACTCTACGTTTTTTTTTTTTCGGCGGGTAGACGCGAAAGTGCATAGACGTGTTTTTATGAGCTCTACATTATTTAACTAAAATATTATATTATAATACATATGTGCTGAACTTTGATTACCTGTGCTAAAGTTAACTGTAACTATACTCTCTCACACACTTTCATCACAATGGAAATGAAACACCTGTTGAACAACTGTTGAAAAGTATGGAAGAGCTCTCCGCAATGTTCACCACCAGAATGGGTGAGTTTGAGAAAAATCTTTCTCAACCTGGCTCCACTGTTCCTAACTTAACTGTGAAATCCTTGGCCACTGAATTCAACACATTTAAAACCTTTGTTTGGAAGTCACTTGGCATTTTGAAGTCCCAGGTTGAACTTGTTGCCCTCGGATTAGACCGCTTAGAGACACAGTCCCGCAGGAAGGTTCTTCTGTTCCATGGAGTTAAAGAGGATAAAGAAGAGGACGTGCTGAAGAAAATTCTTCACATATTATCCAGCCGAATGAAGGTGTCAGACGCTAACTCTAACACAATTGAATCTTGTCACAGATTGGGTGTTAAGAGAGATTCTGCTCGACCAATTCTTGTTCGCTTTTGCAATGGCCAACTACGTAGTCATGTTTGGAAGGCCAAAACAGCACTAAAGGGTTCCAAGATTACGCTGACAGAGTTCCTGACTAAATCCAGACAAGAAGTGTTTATAGCTGCTCGCAATCATTTCGGTATGAAAAAATGCTGGTCTGCAGACGGCGTGATTATT